TACAAATAAGAGAGATTCATATTTAAGAAAAAAAAACTTTTTTTTTTATAAAATTATTAAAATTTAGATTTGTCAAAAAAAAAATCTTTGTCTGCCTATACGTCGTGAAGTTACAAAATATATTAAAAACAATTCTCAACTTAATTTTGTTAAAAACAAATACATAGAGATTTCTTTAGAAGCATATCTTATTTATTTATTTTTCATTTATCATTCATCTACATAGATGTGTCACTATTATATAGAGAATTCTAAAAAATAAATAAATCAAATGAATAAAGTTTTCTAGACCTGTGTAAAAATATCGTTGTTGAACCTTTTTCGTTAAAACTCGAATGTGAACGACCGCCGATGAAGCTAGTCAAAGCAAAAAGAATGCAGACAGGTAGAGTGGACGATGAAATAAAAGTAAACGCGCCACGAATAGCATAGGACCAGTCTGGTGACTGCAGAAACGCGCATTTCATCAATACATTGCAACGAGACATCAACATATTTTGTAGGCGTTAGATCCAAAATTGTTATTTTTTATGGTATAGAAGGGACAGACATACTAAGGGGTAAAACAACTTTGAATATTTAGAAGTCCACAAAATAAAGTCGAACCTCCAATAAACTATATGGTTATCCATTGTCATTTTGGAAAACTTGCGTAGTCAAAAGTATAAATCAATAGTGAACAAAATAAATAATTAATTTGTTGATTGCTGAAGATTTGCAATGAAATAATAATAAAAATGGCAGAATATGGCAGACACACGTTTACTGGTTGATTTATTCACGATTTACAAGCAAGTAGTTGATCAGACTTCTGTGTCCTAAAGGAAGCATTATAATTTGTTTCACCGGAATTGAAACTTAGGGAGTTTTCACGTTTAACAATTTATGCATTTCCGTGTCGGCAAAGTATTCCGATAAAACTTATCAATTCGAAAATACAATAACTTTATCTGACCTTTCGTCAAGTTGAACGGTGTTTTTACTGCTTTCGCGGCTAAAGTTGAATGCACCTGTCGCAAGGTCGCGGAAGTTGTCGTTAAAAACATATTCCCTACAATTATTATTAAAATTTGTAAAACTACCTGGAGTTGAGTACTTTATTTATTATTTTGTGTTTACTACAAATACTATTCTAAATTACGTCAAACCTAGATCATTTCATTCCTATTTTAAAAATATTGACGCATAAGCACATCAACGTTAATCGTAAAAAAAAGTGGTCCTTCGCGCCGGACGCATATAAAGCAATTTTCATTACAACAATTGTTTCCTTAATTCTAGTCTCCTTTTTATGAATGCGCGGAGATGCAGAACGGCGCGGCATTCATGTGTATCATTGAATCACTTGCGACCGTGACCTCCAACAGTCCAGTTGGACATTTCTCAACAGACATTGTCATACAATTCAGAAATAAAGCAAGTCTACTGTTTTACTTATAACTTTCTTGCCTGTTTTCCATTTGATTGTGATCAATTTCATTGTTACAACTGTTCTATTTATCATTATTATAAAAAAAAAATATTAAACAATGTCTTAGTTATATAAAAAATAAAAAATACATATACATAACATATTAATGTCTGGCATGCTCTTAGAATTATCAAAAATGGTGGAAGATCATGGCTTTTACATCATCCCCATCTTATAAATGGGATTTTTGACTAACTACAGATATTTCAATTGGTTTCAACCATATAGATGAGTACTTATCCTTTTCTGAAAAATATTGTTGCTTTGAAATTTTATACCTAGATTTTCAGTGTGTAACTCAACACTAGGTACCTAATGTATCTAACCATTGAGTGTTGGAGGAGGTTGTTGAAAATTTTTAATAAACAAGTTGCTAAGTAAATGTTCATGTATGTGAATATTTATTATTTTATTTAGCTAACAGAACCTTGGATGGTTTCCATCTTTACTTTACATTATGATTCCTGATTTCAAACTCTTTTCAAGTTCATGAATTTTGTGATTATTTTCAGGAGATTAGACGAGATAATCAACTGATAGGGTAGATAACTATTGGAAAAATAATAATACCCATAATTAATTATGTCGTACTGTGTTAATAAAGGTCAGCTACTGGAAAACGAATAGCAAAGTCAAGCTAAGGCTTTCGCGAACTAAATCTAAGACTAAGGACACTGATTAGTCATCCTATAGGACATTCAGGCTCTAATTAAGCGTAAACAATCCGCCAACCTATACTAAGACAACATTTTACAAGTGTTGTAACTCAAAATATTTTTTTTAGTGTTACTCGACGTTTTAATAAGCATTTCCTTGATAAAAACTTCGTAACAGAATAATGTCTCAGATGACTGGCGCAGACCGTAAAATGGCGATGGCAAACCATGGCAACGCGAGCTATTTAGCTAATGTTAAGTAGCTTTGCGGGTATAATATGTAAGATAGACTCGATAAAGTACAAATAAATTGCAAATTATCTCCCTAAAAACCCATTTTTAAGTAAAAATCACTTACCTTTCTATATATTTGACAGCAATACACCACCACAAATCACTGTTTCATCAGTACTGAAAACATCTAGAAATTATATGTCAGCTAACCACAGAACAATCGTTACCGACAACATAAGAAGAGGTAATTATGCATAATATCACAGTCTGTTAACATTTATTATTTCCACCTAAAGAAACATGTATTTTTAACATTACGTTGAAATTATTTTTTTTTATAATAATATTGATTGATATTTAGACTAACGCGAAATAAATAACATATTTCGTTTCAGTCTGATGTCATAATGCAAATGTCAAACGTCAGTTATCAATGTCATATTTTCATATGTCATTTAGACATCATTAATAATGAATCATATGGTGTTAAATTTTTGATTTTAATTTAAAAGATTGTGTTCAAGTTGAGTTAGATAATTATCGTGAAAATTTTATTTTATTTTTTTTGTGAATTGTCCGAAGTGCAACGTGAACTTAAATACTTTTTTTTACATTTTTATGAGTCCAGACAAGGAAAACCGTAATATATTTTCTTACTGCATGTTTGTTTCTGTTGAATTATACAAACATTAACTAAGTATGTCTTACTTTGGCATAGGTGTATACTTCTTGTGCTTAACATGGCTAATATCTATTTTTCTCTGCTGGGTATCAATTAGAACCGGTCATTACATTGGTAAAATAGCTGTTCTTATCGCCGTTATTATTACAATTGTTTTAGTCTCGTTGCCTAGAGACAATGAACTTGATTCATCTACAGACAATTTTTACGACAAAACGTATATTACCCGGTTTGCTATTTTAACGTTATTATTACTCAGTATTGTGGTGGGATCTGTTTATTGTTTTATATATGTTTGTCTGTCACCTGTGGAAACACAAAGGATTAGAAAGTTTGGGTCTGTAAACTGAAGTGACTGGTGAGTGTTAAAAATGTTGGTTTTTGTTTTTACTAAATATTCAGGGTTCTAACTGCAAGCGATAAAGGTTTATACTGACAGCTTTCCTGTGTAGCACTTAATGTAAATTAAAAAGGTTTCTTATGAATTGTGTAATAAGATAATAAATTTGCTTGTATACGTTTATTAAACTTTGTCGGACTATAATATTGTGCTGAAGTGTAATGTACCATAATTTCTAGTTTATCAAAATCACATATATGGAACACTATTTTATCAAAATATCATATTATGGTTGCTTGTTCTGTCACTGCACCTAAATATTCTATGTTCTTCATTATAGTCTATTTGTGTTGGTCTGTAAACTATACTAGCATATATTCTAATTTTATAGACAAAAGGAAATGTAAACTTTGTTAATATAATTGAACTTTTATTGTCTTTGTGTAAGTATGAATAAATAGTCTCTAAGGCATTTTGAATCATTGATAAATTGTTTTGCTTGACATTAAACTGTAGTTCCCAAAGTTATAAAAAAACTTATAATGTGTAGTAAGTAAGTACTGATAGACTATCTAGTCTTATTTTATACATCTTGCTTAGGTGTATAAAATAAGATTAGACATAATACATAATACAGTTCTATAGCCTTATTTAATGTTGTGACATTATTACTGTTATTTATAAGAAGTGAAATCCCATCAAAAATAACAGAGCAGACACATTTTGGTGTCTGTATAACTGATTATTTTTGTACAGGCAAATAGATAATTATATTTGAGTGTAATATGTTTTAAAAAACTGTATATAAAATGCAACCTCTAATAATAATAGTAGTTATATTTTCAGTAACATTACAATAACACATCCTGTATAAATATTTCATTCATTCACTGTTATTGATATTGTCCATTGACACTACCATACTAATGCAAAAATAAATACTATTAAGATAACAACCAATCCTATAGATTATGTACACATATGATGAAAGTCACGTTTACAAGATAGTGCTAATATCTTTTATCTCAATTGTAGTATAAATTCCATGTATTTGTAGTGCTTATTGTTGCTTGTATAGTAGTCTTGTAAGTAACTTATATAGTATATATTCCGTTTGCATGATATATATTATGGGTATTTAATGATTTTGCTTGTACTATGATTTAGGAAACTGCATTCTACATTTCAACTAGTACTTAGCCAAAGCACATTTTATCTTTATATAGACAACAGGAAGTTTCCCCTGCGAGACACACCTGTGCCATTTTGACCGATCAATTTTATTTACAGAAAAGTTGTTGATCAAAATTGTGTGATTTGTTAGTTCGGAACAAATAATTGTTTTCTGGGATTCAAACCAACAACTTCTCTTGCTTAATGCAATTCTAGACTCATTCAATGAATAATAATGTATCACACACATTTGTATGTATATAGGATACATATAAATGTGTGTGATACATACAAGTCGGATAAAATACAATATGTTATTGGTGAAAAGGTTCTGTCCATTGAAAACAAAATTTCTCTATCAGTACAAAAAGCTAACCATGGTAATACAATTATTATGATATTAGTTCATTATGTGTTCTCTATATTTAGGTTTAATTTCAGATAATGTGTAGTGCAATGTGCCAAGGCTTGAAGTCTCCAGTGCGACGACTGGCAAACCTTCGCAAAGCTAAAAATATATCGACGTCTATTGTACACAATGAAACTATTTTAGTTAAGAACAATGATGAGTTTGTGCACAAGGTATGTGTATTTACAAGACGCGAGGCTGATTGTAATGCATAATACAAATTAAAGAGGACCCTTCAATTATTTTACTTTAAATTTTTGTTCTTGTAACTGTCAAAAATAATTTAAAATTCGAGATATTCATCAAACAAAGTCGCTTTTTCTGTCCCCATGTACACTTAAAATTTTAAAAATACGCAACCGATTTTGATGCCATTTTTTTGTAATTAATAGTGATTCAAGAGTAAGGTGTTACAATACACAACGTTCACAGTTTTTTTGTAGTGTATTTAGTATCACCATTGCATCCGAGCGAAGCCGGGACGGGTCGCTAATCTTTATTACTTTAGGACTTTTAAATTCCAATCTTCATCTGACGCAATTGTCATTATGCTTAATTTAAAATCAATGTACTTCAGGTAATGAACAATGAAAAGCCAGTGATAGTGAATTTCCACGCGGAATGGTGCGAGCCGTGCAAGATCCTCACGCCGAAGTTGAAGGAGCTGGTCGAACCACTACCGAACCTGGATTTGGCGATAGTGGATGTCGAAGAGAACGCTGACCTTGTTCATACATTCGAGGTGAGCTTACACATGTTTATATCTTCTATAGCTTATTTGAGCCATATGTTTTACTTTGTAGGACGTGCAAACAATTATAAGTTAAAACTGATTGAATCCATGAAACTGATTCCTTGCTATATTTATGTTAACTGTAATCATCCTTTGTAACTGTCACGGGGCCACTTTGGACACATCTGAGGCGCTGGGTTGTAGTTAAAAAACGATTGTACTCTTTGCTCTCAAAAGAGTTAAATTGTTAATTTAACTGTTGTTAAAATACTTGCTCTAAATATTTACATTTAGTAGCAAACGAAATCTACAATTTATAAATTTATATTTACCCTTTTAATTGTACTATGCACTAGTAAAATTTGTTAAAATAAACAAACGTTGCGTTATTTAATTCCTATGTAATCTTTAATCTTGATTTAAATTAAATTTCTTTTTAAAAATAGTGTTCTTGTATAAGTATAATATACTTTTACACAGATACAATTTTATAAATTTAAAGAAACGTATATATCTATTTTTGTTGAAATCACATATGTTTGATATGTTAAACAAGATTGTCAGTTTCTGAAACACTCTTGTTTGTTTCAGGTGAAAGCGGTACCAGCGGTAATAGCGATTAGCAACGGTTTAGTCGTTGACAAATTCATCGGTCTCGTAGACACGGATATGATCAATAACCTCATAGACCGGATGTCGAATAAGAAGAAGGACGACTCATAAATGGAATTTATTTTACTTGTCATTAGCAGTGTAATTTAGTTGACTCGCGCGTGTTTATAAACGCAATTTGCAAAACTATGATCTATTTAGTGAAACAAGTTGCTTTTCCACCAGACCACCATATCAACTGGTTAATGTGAATCAGCTTTGGTAGTTATATACGTGTTAAAGTGTGGGAATCGAATAAAAGTATAACTGATCTAAACAGGATAGTACATAACAAAAATCCTCGTCGGTAAACTAACTCGGTCTAAAAAAAGTAAAAAATTTCTCATTTCGATTTAGTATCAATAATTTCAGGTGGTTAATACATTTATGCGTTTTGACTTTCGTCCTATAGGTATTACCTATACTTAAATGTTTTTGTGAAAAGTATAACCAATAACTATATGTCTCCTAACAGATGTATATATATGTTTTTTCACAAACATGTTTATTTTTAATGTAGTTCCGATCAAACAAAATTCTACGTACAAATAAATTTTATATTATTTGATTAGTATTAAGTTTGATTTTTATATACAGGCTGTTAAATTATATTGTATCCCCAGTAGAATGTGTTTATGTTATGTTGTATATTTTGTTAATAATTTATTTAATAGAGAATGAAGGCAAACGGAGAAATGTTTAAGCATAATAATAATGTAAAAAATATGTTTATTTCTCTTTCATGAAAATACAAGGAAATAAATATGAGGCCTAATTATATCTACTAGGAATATGAACATAAAAATATTACTCTTTAAGCTTTAGATAAACCTTTAAAGAACACCTTTGTAGTATTTTACTATCGTATATAAATAACCTGATAAAAAATACGCTTAACATATCTAACTTTAACGTACCTATATAAAATGTAACAGTCTCAAATTGTATTGCCATACCTTTCTCGAGTATATCACAGATAAGGAAAATACTACTGTGTTCAGCTTTTAGATCTAAGTGATGCTTACAAATTATGCCTGCCTTTTCGTATACGGTATAGTTTACTTTAAGTAATATGTTTACAAAAATTAATATTAGAAAAGGAGTCATAAATATTAAACAGATTTATTTTAAATGTTATAAAGCCTACGTGGTCTTTGCAAAGATTGTGTGGAAGTGTTGTTAAGATTTTCAGCCGTCATAATTATTGCTAAAGGTGACGAAAACCATTTCTTAAATGCTACAGCCAAACTGATCGAAAACTTAAGCTATACTCAGCTTAATGTATTTCGTTTTGTATATTTAACATTATAAATAGAGATGGGCCGAGTACCTATCGGTTGATACTCGGTAATCTGCGTACTCGGCGGGTTTTTTGTAGTTTTTGTTTTTTGGGTTGCGAGTATTCGCTTGAAATAAAATTGAGCCGAGTAAAACTCGGTACTCGTTACGCGGCGCATCTCTAATCATAACCATATAATATAGAACTAATTATGTTAAAATAAAAGGCTTGTGTGCGACAGAGATAAAGCTTTACAAGATCAAAACTAGTTGTCTCTTTCTAAATGACCGATGTGTAACATTTTTAGGTGCGTAGTATTTGCTGTGTACATAAAGGTCAATAATACCTATAACATCTATTTTGCATCGTGTTGATTTTAATCATATATTTATTTTACATTTTTCCTGTTGTGTGGGTTTTGAACCCATTTTTAAATAATTATTTGTATAAAGGTATATCACTATAATTTCACAAAATTAAAAAGGAAATACATCTTTGCTATACTAATTAGATTATTCACATTTTAAACTTAAAAAAATTATGTACAAATTGTAGAAATGTAGAGTATATGAGTGTTGTGATTATTTCGTATAGCCTTCGTCCAAACCCCAGAGCTTAATATTTACTTGTAGTGTAGGTCTAACGCAGACGCGGTACAATTTAATTGCTCTAATCTATCTCTTTTCTATGATATTAGACAACAAAGCAATAATCGTCTATGACTTTGGTTCTTGAAGACACGTATTGCTGTAGATTTCCGGAGTAATTTTGTTCCATGACTAGTAGAACACTTCGGGCGCCATTTTAATAAGGCCATAAATAAAAAGGTCGCGTCTGCATCTGCCATTAGGTGACTACTGGGTCCATTTAGGGAATATTCTCTTAGAATAGTGAGTTCGTAGCTTCCTTAGGTAAGCGTTTGATATCTATTTGATGAAAACAATTTTTGCGTGACACATAGATCCAATTTAAAATCATATGTCAAGTTATATCGATATTTTAATATTCTCAATTAGTAGAGAAGCACGGGATGCTGTGGCCGTGGGCTCGACGCACGTGTCGTCGAATTTTTCTAATCTAAATTAAATACGTTAGAATCTATCAACAATTTTGTGTAGTTTAATTTATCTTTAACATATATACATATGGAATTACACTAAACTGTATCTTATTAGTATAAATTTGACTTTAAATAAAGTATATTTTCTTGGATATCCTCTTTCATTTCATATACCCTTAAATCTCTGCGATGTTTTGATTGTAAAAAAAATTTCGTTTTATCGCATGAATACAGTCTTTAGACACGTGAAATTCCATTGTCCCTACATAGGACATAGGGCAAACATAGAAATTCCTGACCACAGATGATGAATTCGTGAACTTTAATCGCTCTTCAGTTTCACTTTGTGGATACCCGGCTAAAATAGGACGACAGCGCATCTCCTCGCGTCAAGACGTAATATGGCTGGGATATTTGACTTTCCATTATGTAATTGATGTTTACTATTTGTTTGATAAAAAAAAGAGTCGTGAAGGTCGCAATCATTAATCTGCAAATATGAGCAAAGTGGACTGTATTACAAAAAAGGGAATCTAAGAAGTCGGAGTCAAAATACAGAGACCCTTGTCTTTGGGCAGGAGCGAGAGGCCACGCCGAATCGTGCGTAAGCGAGATGAACGATGGCGTAAGTGTTTTATTTAAATGTGTACACTCGGGGAAAATAAAAATCATTTCAATTTATCATTTTAATTCAGAATCCGATTTTCAATAACAATTTAACTTGAATATTACAAGAGTATTGTTCACTTGTAAACCTTGACATAACATAGACATACACTGCGTACACACATCAGTTCTTAAGATACTTTGAAGGGCCAATTTGGCGCAGTTTATGGCAGTCATGAAATTCAGTGACACCGAACACACGGTAAAATTATACCAATACAATGATTCGATGTTAATAGATATTTTTACTCTACTATGTACTTTTCGAGTTAATCTGAAACGTGATGTATAAAAATTAATAACTTTTTAAATATACCTACATTTAAAAAAAAATTAAGTACTGGGTTTTGCAAATGGCCGCGAAAGCCTTAAACAAATTATAATATAATTTTACCAAGCGTGCGAAGCCCTAAATTAAATAGTAAGTACGATCTAAAATTAATAATTAAAAAGTCTTAGTACTTTGGTGTACGCAATTAAAAAAAAAAACTGGCAAAAGATTTCAATATCTGACAGTATATATTATTAAAATTGGATGAACCGAATTTGATTAAGATTGAAAACTAGCAAAAGAATGTTCTGCAATGTCCATTTGTGTCGCAAATTTTATTATTATTAGGGAATCTCTCATAAGGCTTACACGTTATTTAGGATTCAAACACATAACATTAAAATTGTGCTAATTAATCTTAACGAAACTATACATCTTAAGACCAATACACACTGCGTTCAGAAAACACATCTTTTTGGACGGACTGTGTTTTCCAAAGACCCTATCATGTCATGTTTTTTGTACAATTCAAAGTGTTTATTTATTCGAACGATTTGTCAATACTCGTAAATTTGAATTATCTACAAATTAGTGAAATATAATATAGAGCTGCTACTGCCTGCAATTTAAACAACAAGCAAGTGTTTGCTTAGTCATTAAACATTTATTTTGAAATTAATACAAGGTTTTCACTTAAGTATTGATTCCACAATTTCACTCATTTTGGCATAAAAAGTATCACGAATTATACAACACAGCCATCGGACCGCGACATTAACCCTTGAGTACGAGGGTAGAGGGCTAAGTAAGTCTAAACAGGAACTACCTTGTAGAAAGTAGCAGCTCTATATAATTATTACAATCCACTCGCTTAATTCCAGTTCGTATTGAGATGAACTGTGGTAGAACTCTAAAAATCGCAACCCAGTACACATATTATAATTCAACATTCGATATTGTTATCGATTTAAATTTTCATGATATGCAATCGTATATGAAATTCAGCTTATAATTTAACGTAGCGCTTTCAACAGGATGTAAACATTGTTACGGGATTTTTATTGTATAAGTCACCTTAAGAATAGGAATGTCCACCGTAAAGAGATCTGAAGTAGACCTTTATAGAGTATAAAGTATTCTGCCATGACGTGTGGATGACATAAAGTGGCGCGTTCCTCGACAAATCGAAGACTCAGTTTTCTCGCATTTATTTGGTGCCTTCTCAACTTCTGTCTGTAGCTTACTTCTAAATCTAGATTAGAACCACGAGTTAAAAAATAAGTTTTAAAGACAGAAAGTTAACCAACTATAAGTTTGACGAAACTGGTGTTCCAGTGACCTGTGTCATAGTACACATGATATACCTACTCTTAAGGCAATTATCATCCCAGTACGATTAACAGATCAACTTGTGCGCTATAGACACGAATTATTAAATCACATTCAAATACAACTTTAAAACGAGCAACTTGCGATAATTTTATATAAATTCGTTAAACTCAACTTTACACATTCGCTTAGACACGGGGAATTGTTTCTAGATGTATTCGAGTTTTAATCAAGCCAGAATGTAAATGCACGTGGTCTAGTAAAAGAACAATGGTCAAAATTGTATAGTGTGTTTGTGCCTCACTGATATTTTACGCGGCAGATCACAAAGTGTTTGATTTACTTTGATGTATTCAATACCACCCTATACGAAACCATTTTTAAAAAATGCAAAATAATCCAATAAAAATAGTTTTGAGGTTAAAATAAGTTTCATAACATACATTTCAACAAGATATTCCATTAACAACTAATAAATGGAGTTGTGTAAAAAGCAGTACGAGTTTATGGGAGGCTAAATTAAACATTTACATAAATAAATATTGGACGTTATATCTTGAAGCCGTCAGGTACGATTTGGCCATTGTTCTTTATGTGACGTCACTAGCCTGTAACGTTGTCACGTGATGTGTTAGATAAAAAAAAACATATTTTGAAACAACAAACACTTTTTGTTAGGAAATATAATTAAAAGATGTTTGAATATTTATAGTCTACACGTAGTAGTGCCTAGTACCTTCTACATCTTTTGCTGGGTAAAAAGCGGATACAACTAGAAAAAATTCCCTGTAAAGAACAATATTGTAGATTATACAATACGTATATCACAATTATGTACACAGGTAGCGTTGGCCATTCGCGTGTACAGAACTTTGATTGAAGTTTTATAATACACCTGATTTTTAACTTGTTAATGTTATAGTATTATTTATGGTAAGTTAAATATAGGTAAATAAGAGTAAGGAATGAAAGTATTTAATGCAATTAGATAATTTTAGAAGAATAATTAGCGTTTACAGTTCTTAACTGTCAAACTGTGTTATGAGACCTAACCAATCAAAATCCTGCGCACCCCATGACTCCTAAGAGCAAGCCGACATAATTTTAAATACACATAAGGGGTTCTTATCTTTGATACAAGGGAATACTTATCAAGCGCAATAAGATGTACATTTTACATTATATACAATATTTACACAATAAATATATACAAAGAGTTTGTTTCTCAATTTCTTCGTGAGAAAATACTCAAACTTTAACCGTTTAAAACGCGAAATATATTTATTCAGCAGGAGACGACACTGTTAAAAAAAAGTTTATATTTCGCCTTTTAAGCTGTTAAAGGTGTTTCATTTCAAAATATGAAAATTTTGCAAACGTATCTAGAACCTGCTTGATATTAAAAATATAAGCATAAATTTATTGTATGTTCTGCAATACAGTTCTTATACAATAGTTTTTGGGGGAATGCTGAAAAGAGAGGCCAACACTCGTCCCTTTTCATAATCTTATCAGGGTCTTACTAATTTGATCCGTCATAACTCCTAATATCTTCAGACTTCGTCTCCCAAGTCCTGAACGCAGGTTTCAGCGATAGGAACAAATCTATCTTCGATCTGAACGAGTAGTATGCTCTTGTCAACATGAGATCTTAGTTTCGGGTCGCGATGGTTCGGCGTCCATTTGTGAACCACCTGAAAGATTCATAACATGAAGTTAGCTTTGTGAAGATGAAAGATAATCTCCTTTATAGCATATTTTTAATTATATACTGTACAAAATTAGTATAAAATACCCCAGAGTGGAAAATAAAATCCCCATTTTCCACTCTGGGGTATGGGGCGAACTGCACATTTTCATAGCCGTTGCTCTGATCTTTATAAAAGGTCAAGAAGTTGGTTAAACTTACGTGCCCTGCCTGATCGAGAAAATATATTGTTGCTCCCGAAATGGAACACAGGACCTCTCGCGAGCAATGATTAACAATTCATATTGCTTGGTTATATTAATAACTTTTATTATAATCGACATTCCTATTAAGAGATTTTTTATGATAGAGGAAAACAGATAAGCATGGAGGTAAAATATTCCACATCTAAACAAAACGCTGTCGACCACTTTTGGCTTTGGATATTCGGAAATCCACAGACTCAAACCGAAACACCATTCGCGGCTTTTTCATCTGTGGACTTAGACGGAATTCCGATATTCCTACCACCAATTTCACATCGACATTTTTAGACAAAGTCCAATATGTTACAAAAATAAATTAATTAGAAACATGCGGGGCCCGATGGAAATCGAACCCACGGCGCGTAGATTACTAGTCGTACATTGCACATTACACCAACGAGCCGAGTGTATTTGTAGCTATTACTCACCAATCCATCCATCCCGGCCTGCGGCACCCAGCTGCCCCAGAAGTTCCTTCCTCCTCTCTCCCTTTGGTACTCTGAAGGCCAGAGGACATCGATCCTTCTGCCTAAATTAATACAGTCATACACCCCCAACGGCTCCAATATCAGTACCTTACTTCCCACACTTATATTCATCTTAGCGTCACTCTTCCCTGAATCCGAGCGTTTAATTTTCGTCTTTATCTCTTTGCTCTTGGAGTCCTTTTTCACTTCTTTCTTGTGTGTGGAATTACTATCGGCGTAGTGCGTCTCCTTTAGCGGTATCGCTTCCGGTTTCTCTATGTAACGTCCGGTCAGTTCGCGATAGCTTTCCCGCTCGTGGCGGATCTCTTTGCTGATTTTCGAGAGGTCCTTCGATGTGCCTTCGTTTATGAAGTACCTGTTGGTATTTCTTAGAATTAATCGTGTTTACCAGATATTTATAAATTTGTAAGTTCTATATTTTAAGTAGAACGAACCTTTATATATAAACATAACTTAAAAATACCCTTCAGCAGTTAAAATGATTAACAAACAAATCCTTAAAATGTTAAATGAATTTTATGATCAAGTAAGTAATGGACAGAATGTTTTTCATATCAAATATGAACAAATGCAGTAAACAAATAAACCACAATTATAATGAAAGAAAGTTATAAATAATCATCTACTAGCTGTGCTCGCGACTTCGTTTGCATAAAGTTGTTCTTGTTAGAACGTGTATTCAAAGGTTTTTTGGTTTTTTTAATCGTTATCGCCGCGCACGCAACGGAAGCCCTCAAAGATAAATAATTTTCTCCGGATTTTTTTTTACAATTCCCTCTGTTTTTTCGCCTTTATTGGTCGCAGCTTTATATTGTATAGCCTAAAGCCTTCGTCCATAAATGGTCCAATCAAGACAAAAATATTTTTTCAATTCGACCTAGTAGTGCCTAAGATTAGGGCCTTCAAACAAACAAACTCTTCGGCTTTTTATATTAGTATAGATTTAGTTATTAAAAGAATGATAGAAAAAAATCTGTGATCTACATTAAACTGAAGTTAAATAGCATGGTGCATGATGATGATTGTGCGATGATACCTTTTAAAGAGTTGGTCTTGCCTTGCGTTCCTGTTGGCGATAATTTTGCAATCCGGCAGAGAGACATCTAGACCACTACTAGTCGCGCGCACGTCCTCCAACGACGACTCACCGCTAGCAGGAGCGTTTGACGACACCTGTTTATATGAACTCTTTATGAATGATGGATAGTGCATATCCGGCTCGAAGGACCGGGAGAAAACAAAAATTGACACTAAAAGTATCTTAAATAAAAAATATATTAAATGTGATAATCAGAATCACGAAAGAGACTCAAAAACATGACCAAATCGTAACGTGTTGGTTTTTCCCACTGAGCTGGCGTGTTGTTTTAACCTAATTAGGTTTTTTCTAGATTTCTTAAAATGTACATATTTTAGATAATTATTTTTTATTAAATTGAAAAACATTATATTGACCTTCGCACTAGCTGCCCGACGCGGTTGTTCTCGCCAGCCGCATTCCCATCCTGTAGGTCCCTGAAAACAAAGCATTTGTTTTTCAAACAACAAAGAAAGATAAAGACTAAAAAAATTTGATATACACTTTAAAAACACATTTAACTATTGGAAACACGAAATGTATAAGTAACTTCTGTTTACGACTCGACGTTTCGAAAGCTTTGCAGCAACAGTAGTAATTCATGGGCATAGTTTGTAACCGATAAAAGTGTTTTATTTAAATGTACTTTACTTTAAAAAAATTTTAACTTATTCCTTGAATGTATCCTTGAATATTTTTTTTTGCAAAATTAAATTTTAAGAAAATAAAGGTCGACAAGACAGTGTTTTTTGTATTATTAGCTTAAATTCACATATTTTTGTAATTATACTAACTTGGGAATCCTCATTATGTTCGTCATGATGGTCGGACGCGAGCCTTGCGTTATCTGAGACAGCGAGCAGACGAAACGACGCGGGTAGGGCGCGCTCGCGCCGCATGTGCGTTCGATTACCAGGCTAAAAATGTGGAAATAGTAAATATTAATATTTTTTTGTGACATGTCCCAACTTGTTTCTTAACTAAGGTTAACCTAATAAGTTTTGAATGTGTTTATTTATATACATACATTGAGCATTTCGATCTACCTGAGTCTACAATCGTTATTACATAAACTACTATTTAACCTGGAAACGTAGTGTAAGGATGTTGTTGCTTTTACAAAGGTTTTTTAATAAAAGCAAGCAAAACAGGAAACACTTATCAATATATTTGTAATAGTATGCTAATTGGTCAGAAAAACTACGAAAGCTTACTTGAGTGCGCGCGCGCATATGTCTCTCTCTTCTTGCACCACGCTCTTCGCTGCGTCGGCGCGGTTCAACATCCTGACTATTTGAATACACTGAAAAGAAAATATTGAAGTTCCCTCAGAATTTATTTCATTTTAGGTAACAATGGCATCCATTCTCAAAAAAAGATTCATTTTATAAAAATTTGATACTAATAAAGTTATCTACCTGGTTCCTCTTGCGTTCTCTCATGCGAATGCTCCCTCAATAAACCGGCTAAAGACGCGAGAGTTGAAGATGTTGGCTTCCCCGCACTTGACAAACTGCCACGAGTACCACCTACAATATGCATTATTGGAATCCGGCTCGAAGGACTAAATTATACAATATTTGATTTGAAATTTTTTATATTACAAAGATGTCCTTAAGGGACCAAAAATATATATTAATAATGACTATTTGTGTATCTGACCGTTTTTGATGGAATTGCGTACCTAGATCGCCTCGATGCGAGGCAAGCGAGGCCCGTGATGCTGCTGTTTGCGAGGCGTGCAACTGCGGCCTTTGTTGTCCGCCACGGCACGCTTCACCCCGCTCCGCGGCAGTCGCATCACAGGCTGCACCGCTCGAGCAACCCTCGCCACAACGTCTTCGAATACTAAAAGAAAAGGAAAATTGAATGATTACAAATCTATACGAGTATTATAATTTATCGAGTGATTAAAAAATCTTATTAAAATTGGTTCTTAGAAGCCCTCTTAGTTATTTTCAAGAAACAATGGAAAATTGGAAAACGGGGAAACCATTCATTGTTAAGGGTTTTCGTTACCTCAGTGTAAGAATGATTGCTGTTTGAATGATTCAGAAACTAGCAAGAACGGGAGCGAGGCGCGAAACGACATTGTAGGTAACAGCTATAATTTATAAAGATGAGTTTGTAAAAACTAATTTGATGCCTAAATAACTATACGCGGACAAAGTCGCGTGCACAGCTAGTACCAAAATATTTAAGCATCAATCAATTACGTGTAGTAAAACTCACCGTCGCCATAACGCTGTGACTTTATTCTTGATGGCTGTAACCGTGACCGCTCCACCGACTAGAGAACACAGTTGCTCCGACGTATCCGCATAGGACGTGGTCAACGGCGACACGTAGATGGGGTAACCTATGGGCTGGTCGCAAGAGGAGTTTATTATGTTTCGGAGAGCCTGTAATAAGAAAAAAATATATGAAACCCTGACCTTTGCTACGTAACTCTGAAATAAGAAGAGTTTGTATGAAAATGATCTAATTATACATTGTATATGCATTTTGCAAAGTTAATTGGATTTTTTAGGTATTTCATTTTATTTAAACTGCTTAAAAAGCAAAGCTGCTCAAAAATCAAACTGAATACTGTCAGTAGTTTACGCGAGTAGTACATATTTAACGGTTTAAAACAGTTTCCCCGTGACCAAAAGGCTGCATCCGGCATCCGGGTTGTACTTAAAATAATTTTAAGCAATCTCTTTTACGTTTTAACCCGCTATTATTTTATTTAAATATAGTATATAAAAAATGTACTATAAAGGAAATATTAGTCATATTTTATCGGAAGATACCTGTTTAGCATTCTGTATAGACCCTCTTTCAGGATTTCGATTTCTCAGGTACACCAACTCCTGCTGCTGTCCCGCCCAAAGACCGCGAACACATTCCCGGTTCAGCTTGATCACGCGAAAGCCGAGGTGACGCTTGTTTAACATTATTATCTTGTAGTCGTCATTCCCTTCGTCCATGACGTGCCTATACAAAAAATATTTAGAATTAGTTATTTTTTTTAATTATATAGTTTTATATTTCCACGTATGGCTAATTATCAACGGGTCGTGGGTTTGATACTCACCGGGTCCACGTTGTAATTTTTTTAAGCATACTAAACTTCCTCTGGGGATCTGGATATTAAATGGGTGGGTACTGCGACCGGGTTACAAACCCTCCGTCCACAATGAGCAAATGAAAAAGCCGTGAAGTTTATAGTTACAGTTTTCGGTGTCAGTTCGCGAATAGTACACATTTAAATAACGATTTAAAAACGCGATATATATTTCATTAGTTAAACTTATTTACAAATTATTTTAACTACGACCCAAAGATTGGGACGTTCAGAACGTATGAATTAAAATGTTTTATCAAATAAAATAAGTCAACAACGCTCTTGTTGAGATATTATATGCCTATCCTCCTCAATCATAAAGAAATATAATGTAGTCCACAAGTAAGGCTCCATAAGAGATAGACCATAAGACACCGAACTTGTCACCTGCTTAGCTAACTTCATAGTTTCAATGTTACCTAAGTGCTAGCAGGTGCGGGGCGCCTCTGAGCACATTGTACCGCCAAGCGGGCGCCGCTTCATGGCAAATGACGAGCCGCTGAGAGTGAGACACAATCGCTGCATACAGCGCCGCACTGCTCCAATACTCTTCAGGGAACATGAAGTGATCCTACAAAATTCAACCGATTTCAACCATACGAAATGAAATAAAAGTCATCATTAGCTGAATGTATACTAATTTTATAAACCTGAAAAGTTTGTTTGTTTGAACACGCTAATATTAGAAACTACTGATTCTAATTGAAAAATATATTTTTTTTGTGTTGGTTAGAGAATTTATCGAGGAAGGTTTTAGGCTAAAAAATATATATATGAAAAAATGATTTCTCTTGAAATGATCTAAATCTTCTAATTTCATCTAAATTTTAACAAATACAGGTCTTAACTTTTAAGTTCCTGTAAAATATTTGAATAAACATTATCACTTACTTGATGGAGTTTCAACGCCATGCGTATAGCTGGAGCCAATACTGAATGCAAAAGAGACACATCTGAGAACACCCATTCGTCACGTGCGCATGTTATCCTAAAATCACCTTTGAAAAGTGAATGCAATCCGTAGAGGAAGAATTCGACACTGAAATTTAAAAAAAACATTATAAAAATTACCTCCCTCGTGACTCAATTGTAAGATCACTTTGTATCACCGGGAAAATTTAAACTGTATTGATATGCCAGTATACATAATTCTCATTATTCTATGGTCTAGAAAATCCATAATTGAAAAATATTAATTTTTTTATAATATTATGTACATGTTTACAACATCTGCTACGTCAGCTCGAAGGACCATATTTTAGGTTAAAAAAAATTTCGTAATGTCGAAAACATATCATAAAATAAGGATTCGTACCTTGATGCTGATAAATGCTGTGCAGCTGCCAAGGCCCGTCTGCCCAGTAAGCTTAAGGCGAAGCATAGAGTGAGCAGTGCCGGGTCCCTCCGCCAGGCGGCGCCACGTCGAGATCCACAATGAGCTATCCACTCCTGATAAACAGCTATGAAGCGGCTTCTATAAAGCATATTTTTTTAAATTAAAGACAATACGCACCGTGGGCAGATGGAAAAGGCTCTGAAAGCTATAGTTATATGGAAAATATATGTCATGGATTTCCGAATATCCAAATCCAAAATAGGTCGACAGCACATTTATTTAAAAGTGATAAAATGGACTGGTTTATAGAATAGACTTTATTTAGACTTACTTCTGTTCAAATAAACTACCTGGTTATCCCGCAAGCTCTGAAATCATAATCTTCGTCAAGATTGACGTTGAAAATGGGATCCAAATCAACGAAGGACCTTTCAGCCATTGGTCTTAGTGCCTCGGATAGTTCTGGAGATGAGAGCCACTCTTCCAGCTTGCTTGATTGTATCGTGTAGAAAATTATACTCTGAAAGAAGGATTATACTCTGAGAGTTTTTAGGAGTTAAGACTCGCCGTAACACAATGCAGTAATAACAATAAATGTAATAACGCTAACTAGGCGATGATAAACGAAATCAAGAGCTTAACGTGTTCTCAGAGATAGGAGAGTGCACATTCTACTTTCAAATTCGGAACAAACTCAGTTGCTATAACTGACTATATTCGATCCCGTGCCTAGTAAAATACACGTATCGAATGCACAATAGAAGAAGTAATTATGACTATATGTATCCTCAAACACCATTCTATCAATTCGAGTCTCGAGAGCAAATCTCGTGTGATATTACTTACCTTTACATAGTAAGTGAGCAGAACCTTCCTAAAGTCAAAGACTTGTAACATGGAAACAGCGCTGTTGTCCGTCACAGAATAACCCTCCAATACGTAACGAGATGTCGCCAGCTGCCAAGCGAGCCATCTCAGTGTCCACCAAGACCCAGGAGACAAAACTCGTCCTCCACATATCCAACGACCTCCGCAAACGCCCTCTGGAGACAAATGAGTCGTCTACATTACATTTATTGTAAAAAACTCGGACCAGAAATTCAAATTTATTATTTGTTTTAGTTTGGAAGGACACAGAAGTCTATTAATAAAATCAAACAGTGAAACGGATATAGAAATATTTCCGTCCCAAGCTCCAAGGGGGATATTTACTATAGGCACTATATGTACAGTATAGTTTCAATTTGTAAACAAATTATATGTTATTTAGAGAATCATCCTGCCCCGTAGGTGGATAGAAGATTACGCACTTTATAAAGGGGTTATTTTAATGGCATAAACCTGAAGAAACTATTCAACTTAATGCTTACCACTGTTCTCTTCAGGACCCTCGGATATGGCCTCCACCTCTCGCTGTTGGCAATAGGTTCCACGAAACTCGAGACCACGCAGTTGGAATGAAACCAGACCGTTCCCCATTTCCACAATGTGCACCAAGCAGTTTAGATAGTCAGATGCAAGTACTGAAAGGCAATTAGAACCAATAGATAAAGTTACCCTTTAAAGGTTTTAGCGGAAAATGGTTTCAAATTCTTGTCCTATTTAAAAACTGTATGACAAAGATAACAGGACTAAGTTATCGGTTGTAAAATATAAAATTTTCTCAATTTATTCTTTTGATACCTTATCTCACTTAGAAATAAACGAGGCCAACACATTTTGACGTCGTAAATTTTTCGTGTGTTATTAGTCGGACTATAAATAATATATTTTGCAATTTCTACAGTGTTACCTAAAAAAATCCTGAGTCCAAAACCCGAGAAAACAACGAATAGAAATATTTCGATCGAGCAAAGCACATGACACTGCTAAAATTGTTGCTTGTAAAGTTATTAGAAGTGGGATTTTACACTTACATACATATAAATTAAGAGTCGATTACAAATTGAAAAAAAAAATAATACGACACGTACAGGATTACAACCGGCATCCAACAAGTTCCGTGCTGTATCATTAACCAATTAAGCTACCGTACCACATACATACACAACGATGTATTTCACACATATGTGTGTACATACCAAAACAGTCCCCTTGTTGCACGATTCCCCACCTTCCAAGCATGAGATCTCCGCACAAGTAGTGTTGCAAGGACCGAGTTAAGTGCTCGTAGAATATAGAGTTTAAATTATTATCGTCTGAAATAGAAAATATTGACAACTATCGATTAAGTGTCTATAATTTACGTGAGTAGTATGCTGAAACATTATTAACGATTTAAAAGGCAACATGACGTTAGGAATTCTTTACAACAGCCGTGATCACGGGGTTAGTTAAAATAAATAGTAAATAAGTTAAGATTATTTGTTTCAAGAAAAAAATACGTATGTACGTACTAATAAAAGCAGATCTTTTTTTAATCAAATCAGATTTAAAATTTGTATAAACTTAAATATGAAACTTACCAGCTCCAAGATTTCTTTCCAGCTGCGAAGACAACCGTGTATTACTCTGGTCAACGCGTTTAGTATTATAATCGCGTTCCCAGAATTTTACAGGACGAACGTATGACGTCATAAATATGGCACTGCCTGGAAACAGTCAATGACAAATCAAAATGACATATTCTTAACAATATTTCATCTCCTTTAGGTTTCTATATGCGCTATCGGAGGAGTTTCAACGTCATATTTATATATATATATTTTATATATATATAATCAAATAAAATATGGTAGGGTGAGAACTGTACTCTTATCTACAACCAGGACGTTACTTCGACCATGGAGGGCCTGTTTATTCAATGACATTCTTTCTCGGAAAAGATGATTCAACGTGTTAGATTCTTACCATAACACGGTTATGACATTTCTCTCATGGATTATGTCGAAACAAACATGATATCTAAAAACAAACGAATACATTGTCAATTTACCTAGCGCGGGAGTGAGAGGTGACGATAGAAGAGCAGAAAGAGCTGCCTGCAAGAACAGCATAGCAGAATGTGGAACGGAAAATGGCTGCGCAAACGCATGAAACGCGCTGCCCCACGTTATCTGCCAGGGAGCTATGTACGTCACGACGAATTGAACCTGAAAATTAACGTATGCGTGCATTGATACTTAAAATCTTTATACATTAAAATACGTAACACGTTTAACGGGTAAATGCATTTATTAATTTATTAACTATTTATTTTAACTATGCCAATTCTAAATTGAACATTTATTCCTAAGGGTTAGAAACAGCTTAGTAGGACTGAATCCAGACAATTTAGGCTATAGCTTTGTAATAATTCCCAACAAGAATATGTGAATTTGAACAACTTGAAAAATATCAAAATTCATATAAAAACGAATTTAAGCATAATATAGTTATTAAGTTAAAATATAATATGATATAGTGAATGGATTGTATCATTATTATTAATTTCATCATTCATTATCAGTCCACACTATCAGATGACTCATTTCCCCCTCACTTCCTCCTTGCATTGTAATCCTTTCTATCATTATTAAAAGAAACCTGTACGTAAGACCAACATTTAATTATATCTCCATCTCACTCACCTTTAGAAGGAACTCGTAGACTTTATTAAATATAATAGCCATAATGAAATAGTCCACAAGAAACGTCTCCGATATCTTTTGGGTGCCAAGATCCAGTTGAAATATTAGCACAGCAAACACAATAATGAGGTACTGGCTCTCGGGGTCCGAATACGCATTTCTTAAACCTGAAAAAAAAAACACTTATAATATTTAAATAAAACACTAACGGTTTAAACGCGATACATATTAATTGAAAATAATTTTCAATAAGTTCATAACTAATATTCACCGAAGAAGGTTATAGGCTATAAAACAGCCTATAAACCTCCCCCCCCCCCAACCTGCGACCAATAGAAGCTAAGAAACAGTGGGAAATGTGGAACAAAACTGAAAAAAATATTCATCCTTGAGGGCGTGCGCTGTAAAAACGCCTCAAGATATGTACCAAAAAATATACATGTACGAAGAAAATAATCCTTCTTTTATTCATAAAAAAAATGTCCGCAACACTATATATGTCTATCTTTTAAGATTAGACATATACTGTTGCGGACATATCGGACAGCTAAAATGGGAATTGGGAGGAGGTTTGTAACGATTCTACGAGGAGGAAGTCGCGGACACAGCTAGTGTAATAACGTATATACTATCAGTAACGTAACGTAAATAAGACAACGATTATATTTTGGGGACATTTATATATATAGTACAAAATGCAATATATACTAACATTTCAATGCGCACACGCTGATAATCAGCGCACCAAGAGCGTCTCCGTACTTTTCAGCGATAGCCGGTGCGTCTTGTGTGGTGGCTGCGATGACTACAGCTGGAAATAACACGTTGCGCTCCAGAAAACATAAGTAAACGAATATCTGAAAAAATTAATGCCATAAATAAGCGTGGTAGGATTATTAAAATGCGAAAAAAGGTTTTATTTATTGTATTAGTATAATATCTTTTTATGATTTTTTAATATAGCAAACTGTATTTTTTCATTTTTAACCTCGGTTTTCGAGAAGTACAAAGAGGACTAAAATTTTGTTGACTTAATTGTAAACTTTTAGTTACCTTTGAATAAAACACTTTTACCGGTTTATAACGCGAATTTTATTACTTAAACAATTTATATTAAGTAGTACATCTAGTCCCCCCGTGACAACGGCTGCTGCAAAGCACCCTACACGACCGTAATTAAAATAAATATAACTAACACTTATCACGTTTTAAACTGTTGAACGTGTTTTATTTAAATGTCCACTACTCACGTATATTGCAGACACTATTTCAATTACCTTTTCAAAGATCATTAGTCTTGCTGGCTCGGTGACTTCGAACTGCGCGTGTTCATGTTGCTTAAGAACAGGACCGGCTAGGCAAAGCCAAGGTTGTTGCTTACGTAATTGAGGCGTTAAGTAGTGCAGAATCCAGCCAAGACTCCCCGCTATTATCCAGAGCACCTAGGGAATATCCACAATTATTATTTTATTATCTTGCTGTTCAACTACTGTCAGACTAGAATCAGAAGTGTCCGACAGCGCTACAGTCTGACAATTGTGATTAGGCGGGCACATTGGTACAATGGAAGCAATGTTTAGCTTAGTTAGGGTCTTGGGTTCGATTCCCACCGGGTCCAACGTGTTTCTAATCAATTTATAATTTTTCTAAAGCATGTCTACTTCTGGAAATCTGGATATTAAATGGGTGGTAGGAATATCGAATATCCGTCCGGGTCACGAACCACCGTCCACAGGTGAACAAGCCTTCAAGTTTTATCGCGTTTAAGTGTGTGGATATGGGATATCCAAAGATAAAATAGGTCCAAAGTGTATCTTTATTAGGTTTATAGGGCTAAGTAGGTTTCTGTCCTTCTCTATAATAAAAAAAATGGAAAATAATTTCACACAGCCAAGACGAAACTGTTACTTGATGTCTGTCATTATACCATTTAATTTCAAAATAACTCACCGTATTTAGCTGCGGCTTCAAAGTGGTAAACACAGTAGTACAGTGCAACCCGAACACCAAGAGTCCAAGAAACGTGCAAACTATGACATCATTCTTCAACCTCGCGTTCACCGTCTCTTGCAATTTCTTCGGCAGAGGATCTTCCATGTCCTCCTCAGGTTTGTCCAGCTCCGATTTATTCACGTTCGAGTTCAACGTGTTCGAGTCTCGAGTTTTTTCGTCAGCCTCCGGCGGGTCCACTTTGAGTGATGTAGTGGAATTTGTGGCATCACCCTTCGGGTCTTTGAGAGAACTCACGCTAGACGCCTGCGACCTCTTCTGTCTCGAAATATTCGTCTCCGAACTGAAGTTGATCTTTGAAGCGGAACTACCTACTGAGTTCTGCTTCGAAATATTGCTTTCTGAATTGTTTTTCTTTTCTTCAGTCAGCGTATTGGGTTCCGTTTTATCGTTTTCCGGGGAACACTCAGGGTTGTGCACTATATACAACTCGGGGGGTAGAAGGTGCTTCTTGATCAAATTCCATATAAGTGTGTAATCGCTTGCGCTTCTGCTCAAGTGATAAGCTATAGGTACGAGCAGTCCGCAGAATATGGATATTAGGATGTTATGCTTCTGATGGTGCGACTTCTTCCCCTCGATCAGCCCGCTGTACGCAAACCCATATAGCGTTCCAATCGCTGCTAACGATCGCAATACGCAATAAACAGCAGCGCTCAAACTGCTAGTTGCGTTACCTCCGAACACGTGCATATCGATCTGTTCCAGTAAGTACATCATAAACGTATTCACTTGGGGAAATAAACCCAAACTAAAAGCTAGCGGAAAAAATAATAGGAACTTCGATAAGATCTCTTGGATAACGTAAAGGCAGTCTCGTTCGTTTAATTCTATACCGTATATCGATAGTGGTTGCGTTCCGTCCGTACTCCGCCTACTTCTGGAATGTTCGTCGTCGACCAATTGACTACTCACGGCGCATAGGATAGCCGTGCACAGACAGAAGTAAACGGGGCGAGAGAACACAACCATTTTGTTGAACCCGTGAACGGGTGACGCCGAATCCGGCTGGACACTTTTCAATAAAGAATACTGACTTCCGGCTATTATAAAACAGAACCAGAATGCGTAGATGTCTCTATAGAAACCCAGGTTCAAAACCATAGAGCCCAAAACTGCGACCGCGATGGCCAACATTATAGAAACAAATGTCTCTCGGAACGTTAAGTTCCTGTCGAATAACGCCATCAGCTTCAGCCTGTCCATAGTGACTTTCACTTCAAAGCATTTGGACAGTTTAAACTTATAGTAGCTCTTCGTTTTTGGTTTATTAGTCTTTTTCATTTCGTCTATCATTTTGCAAAGTTTGCTGACGTTATACTGTTCGTTCATTTCCTCCGTGATCGATTGGATTAAGCCGGGTATGCTGATCGCTAAGTTTTCCACTTGTGCTGCCTGTGCCGCTTGCGCCGCTTGTTGCTGCGCTCGCTGCTGACTCATCAGAAAGTTGATATGCATGCTTGGAAGCCCCATTCTAGATTGTCGCTCTGCCTCAATTTCTTCGAGTAAGCTATCTGTAACGTAAGCGACTGGTGACCTTGCTTGCTCAGTCCCACCGTCGAAAACATAAAAACGTTTATTCGAACTATTCGTATTTATCGGTACTATAGTTGACACATTATTATTACTCGATAATAATGGATTATTACTGCCTTGGTTGGAAGAACTGTGATCAACGCTGTCACCGCGCTTCGGTTTGTTCGTATTTTCGCTAGTACCGGCTTCAGATTCTAAAGAACCGCAGCTACCTCCTCCAGCGGTTTCTTGGTTATCTGGTTCTGTGGTAGGAATCTCTTTAATCTTTGGCGTATCTTCTTTTTCTGGTAACGGTATAGGGAGAGCCTGTGTACGACCGCATCCGTTTTTATCGAATGTATACGACATCCAGTTACCATATTCATCCATGAAACAATGTATGGCGCCATCTGTCGTATCGTCGAATGAAGTTGCAAAGTGAACGTTCCCTGAGTTAGGTTGCTCATTGTTTGAAGGTTTGTCTTTCTTTTCGGAATTTTGTGAAGATGGGTTATTGCGTTGGCGCGTGGAGCGTTTTAATTTTCTTACACGATTTCTATGATTTCTGTCCATTAGTGGCCTCAACCTCGGCCCTTCTTCAGTAGGCGGGGCTTCGGCCGGAGGGGCGTTATTGTCAGGTACACAGCATGGCATAAAATCTACTCTAGAGTTAAGGAACGCCGCTAGTAAGGGCATGGATGTCGGCAGCAACGTGTTTGTAGATGTTTGAGCGACTTCTTCTATGGATCTCTTTCTTGTTTTGTGAGAACCTTCCCTCTCGCCTCTAATGCTTTGTCGATGACTTCTTGATCTGTCTTCTCTATTTGGCGGGGGCATCACAACAGTATTGGCGTTGGTCGCGGCAAAAAGACACTCTAATCCTTGTACCAAAGCAGCCTGAGCTTCGACGGCATCCATGAGAATTCTATCTTCGGTTTCATTTTCATCTTTCTCTTTCCTAGAATCTCTCTTCTTGTTCTCTTTTTGCGAGGAAGCTCGTGAACGCGCTAAGTTTTTTATCTGCTTTGGTATCGCACCTAAGTTTTTTGGTACGTTCGATGAAGATTCCCCAAGCGCCGCTAGTTTTAAACACACCTCTTCAGGGTGCACGCCATCTTTGCAGCAAATATGTTTACTATCTGTTTCTTCAAACAACCAGTCTAAGCTATAGACACTTCTTTCATCTGCGCTCTTACTGTCGCAAGTCAATTGCGATTCTTCAGTTTCCGGTGGATTTTTGTCCAAATCACTTTTAGGTCTTCGTTCATCACTACTACTGCTAGAGTTAGAAATATCGTGGTCCCAGACTTTTTTCTCTACGGGGTTCTTCTCTTCCCCTGTTTTCTCCGACTGATCACCGGTATCGTTGGATTCTAAACTAGATTTTTCTATAAGTAAATCCTTGGAACTAGCACTAGCTTTATCAAAATAATCACCGTTCGAATTGTATTTACAGTCGCAAGGATTCGCTTGACGATCCTGTCGAGTCTCTACTTTAGCGGATTTTTTTCAGTCTTGTGGGCTTCTTTTCGTTAGGGCAGCCCGGGTTATGCTTCGTCACTTGCACACGATCACAGGAATGCTTCTTGCAATCGTGTTGGTTTTTGGAACGTACCACGCGCACGTCATTTGGCCTATCTAGTAAAGGAGATCTTGAGCCGTTATTTTCATAGTCAGAATCACTGGAACGCATGGCAGATGACTGTTCCGCATCCCAATCGAAGCCTCTGAACTGCTTTTCATCTTCGTAATCGCTATAACTTTCACCACTAGAATCCAAATCAGTTTCCTTCTGCGAAGTCTGCATTTCATCAGAAATTTCAGCTATAGGGTAAACTATTTCAGAGCCATATGTTAAATAGGGGTAGCTGCAACCTTCTCCGTTCTCGTTTTTGGGGTATAAATTCAAGTGCGGGCCGCGTGTTAAGCATTTACTAGGGGGTGGAATCACTGCACTCTTTGGATTCTTGAGCATTTGACCGCCGATTGTTTCAGCGCTGTTCGGGTGTGGTGATAAATTAGAGACACTGGGAGGAGGGCAACCAATTTCCAAAGCGGCACTTTTGATCCTGCGCACGCCGGGACTTTTGCCCTTACCCTTATCAGTTTCAACTGGCGCCTCCGCTTTGACCATCATATATTCGCCTAATTCTACGCTCGCAAAGAATCCCGTATCGGCGTTATTTGAGTGCCTTCGCATGTGGGACACTAACTGAGCAGTGGAATTTAGGAGCGGCAACTGTATCGTCGACATGGTGGAATTTGAGTTGCGTCGCATATTCGAGGACTGTGCCGTCGCTAGGGCCATGGCAGATTTAGTACAACTTTCGTCTGGATAGTTTGTATACCGTCTTCGTTGTGCGAGGCGTTTCTTCGGTGATGGCGGACCAACGCTCGGCTCAGAATTGTCACGGGAGTCTGAACTTAATTGTCTAGCAAACTTGGAATGATATGGTTCGCCGACGGCCGCTTCGTCGCCGTCTAAGTACAACCATTCTTTGAAAAAGTCTCTGTTGCTTGAACCTCGGCGATGAGGGCACTCATGGTATCTTCTGCTGACTTTGGCAAATGGTCCTTCATCCGTTATATATACAGGTAAATTATTTTCTGCTCTTGAATGCCGCGACTCTTCCACTATTAACTCGTCAATTCGACCGTGGCCGCGTCTAGTTTTAGTTCTGTGTGACCTATGGCCAGATTTTGATCGGTTTTTACTCGGACGAGTTTTAGAAGTCCCAGCAGTATCTGCAGGTGTTGTTTGTGCTACACAGAGATCAGATTTGGTTGTCGCTACGGGCTCAAACTGTTTAGCCGACATAGCGCTATCTTCCATGCTTGATTCTGAGCTATTCTTCCTGTGGACGTCTACTTTTAAATCTGAAAACAAAATCAAATTGATCATAGATGTAATATAGTAAATATTAATATAACTTATACTTATATGTAAAGCTGCTTAGTTTGCTTAATCGCGGTAATCTCAGGAACTACTTGTTCGAATTGAAAAATTGGAAATTATTCATCATTGTGGGTTTCCGTTAAGTACGCAAAGAAAACGCTTCAAGATACCCCAAAAATATGTATCACACGATGATTTAAAAAAATATTTTAAAATTAGGTGGCAAGAAAGACGGGACGCGGACGACATCGAGGGTAACAGACATAATTTATAAAGATTTGGAGGAAAAACAAATTTCGATGTTAAAAAAAAAAATTGTTTGACATAATTATTTTACGTGGACGAAATCGCTGACATAGCTAGTGTTGAATAAATACAAATGAATGAATGGTTACTTACCTATAGTGCTATTATTGGGCTTATGGTAAGTTTCAAGGGAAGTGACAGAATCATTGTCACTGGGTGCAACTGCAGCTGCACTTAGGGTCTGCATTTCGACGCCCTCCTCAGGCCTGGGGGATTGCAGTAGACTAAACAATTGTGAGTATTGTATTTAATACATGCAAACAAACTAAAAAGCAGCCGGTTAACAACATTATAAGCAGTGGCAAGACTAAACTACAAATGTGCCTTCTGTGACCTTAACTATGTAAAAAATAATCTGTTATTTTATTTTTCTTGATATTTTTCTTCATAATGTTGTTATAAAAATATACTGACAAGTGACAGTATGTAACACCCAAAATAGTTTAGTCTATAAATTGTATGCGGTGAAATTTTCAGTATGTAGAATGTGATTTCTAGAAATTAACAGTTTTCATCTTCAACCCTGTCTTGCCTCAAACGACACAATGTCTAGAGGGTTGTAATTGAAAGTAAACTCCACCTTACAAACTTTCTAATTTACTACATAAATAGTACAGATTATATTAGTAGATTGTACAATAAAAAAAATAAGGTGACCCAAATACAAACACCCTCTTTTCGCTAGTCATGCTAAAAGCACACTACTTCAATTTAATGTCACAAACATGTCTGGTCAGTGATACGGATAAATCATTGTATATCTACTTACGTACCAAAGCACATGTTTCTTAAGAAATAGAGTATTATATATCTGCTTAACAATGTAGTAGTAAATACAAGACATTAAACCAAAAAGTTACTAACAAACAACATTACCTATAAGATGTTACAGTGGTATAGATAGTTCTAAATAACTTACGCAGCGTTTTCTGTGGGGTTTCCAGCTTCGTCCGTAGTTGGAACTACAATTAGCTCGTTAGTGTCGTACATGTGGTGCAGACCATGGTTAATCAACTTGAGGACAGTAAATAAAATAGCTACTAACAAACAGTAGACTAACCAACCGGCACTCGCAGGCGGGAAATACTGCAAAATATGAAATAATAAATGAGTTACGGTTTGTAAGTGAAATTTGTATAATGAAGATGTGTAGTGTTAAAACCTGTTATTATTGCAAGGGTAATACAGACTTGTGGGGAGTTTTTCAGGAAAACAGATATAATTTGTCTGAAAACTTGGTTGTTTTTTTAAAAGAGGGATGTTTGGGACATAATGCATAATTCATTTATATGAAAGGTTTTTCCATCAATTTTTTTAGTGGGCCATTGAACGCTTGTGTAATTGAAATAATATGAAAATACATTTTATGTTAAAAGTCTGCTTTTTAAGACAGTTAGTGAGCACACTTATCTATAGAGACTTTTGTAGTAGTGTCCTACTAATGAGACAGTAAAGTGTAACACAAAGCACAGGAATAGATTGTTGATTGTGAAAAATTTACATGGACTTTTAAGTTACAAGAAAATGCCTAGCTTATTAGTCTTAAGTGTAGGCTTATTTTTATTATGAATAAATAACTCATATACACTATACAACCTGTTTCATTTTAATTATCGCAGGTAAAAACAATGACTAATGCGCGGAAAACGTAAGTACATTGACCTGATTACAAATCATTCAGTATTCTGCTAAAATTAGGAAAATGAAACTTACCAGATACACAGAGAAGGGCAGGCAGAGGAGAAACAGCCATATGTAGAGGTGTACCGTGTTACAAAACAAGTTCTGATGAGGATCATAAAACCAGCCACCTGTCAAGGATGCCCAAATTCCCTGGCGTAATATTTCTAGCGTCTGCGAACCCATCTTACATGCTATAACCGCATCACGATCACTGCACTGTCCACAATAGTAGCACAAATCTTTATCTGCTTCCTACATCAGCTTATTACAAAGAGCAACTCTGTCCGTATTACTGCCATTTTGTAAATACCTCCATACAATAACAAATTTTGCGCCCATGTGTTTGAAATGTATACCAGCGGTTATTTTGTAATAATTTTTATTAAATAATTCTAAATAGGCTCATTATAAGTACTTATACGTTTATTATCACAATATTATAGATTAATAAAATAAATTATAAACACTAAGAAACAATACTTTCCATTTTTGACACTTACTGAAGTGACATATTGTTGTGAAATGTTGCCAAATGCCAAAAAAGCGTGCGAAACATATTTGATATTTCTAGTGTTGTGCGTAAACCGGATTTGGAGAGTGTGAAATCCGATTTTCTTAGGATATTTCATTTCGCAAAGTAATACATCAAGATACGGTCGATTTTCCGTTTACACTGACGTTAAGCGTTCGGCGCAATTTTCAAAGTAAATGTTATTATTTTAAAAGGTTATAGATTATTTTCTTTTATTAATTCGGTTCAGTAATAGTGAGTGTTAATGTGGCTTTAAATAATTTTATATTGGAAAAGATGCCGGACTTTGAAAAGATTTTGAAGCAAGCTGCTATGCAAGTTGGTGCTGGTGGCAGTGCTGGATTTGTAGAAGTGTGCATCATGCATCCCTTGGATTTGGTGAAAACGAGATTACAACTGCAGGCCACAAAATCTAAGATTAATCAATCCGACCCACATTATTATAGAGGAATTGTAGACTGCATGACGAAGATGTATCGGCACGAAGGGATGTTATCCTTTTGGAAGGGAATACTACCACCGATTTTAGCAGAAACCCCCAAACGTGCTGTTAAGTTTGTTACATTTGAACAGTACAAACGATTTTTTATGTTCGGATCGCCGACACCAACACCTTTAGTGAGTAATGTTTACTAATTAGATCCAATTAAAACTTAATTTAACAATAATAGTTGTTTAAACATATAAGTATGATGTAATCCATACTATGCTACACGCTTATGACCCAGAATTAAGACTAGAAATTGGATAAGGCGTCTTGCGGCAGAATAGGTATCATAAAAAAAAATTAGAAAATATAAGCTGAAAAAAAGCACTTCGCTAGCGTTTTGAAACTTTAATATTTTTTACATGTAAATTAAAAATTAAAATTGGTTAGAGCGAAAGCACGGAACGCCGTGGCTGCCGGCTTAAGTCCGGCCCGTGTCGTGAATTTTTGTCAATCTATAATCAAGCTATAATTTTGTATAAGAAACAAAACTTTAAAAGTTATAATCACAAACGTCATAATTCCAGACGTTCGCTTTAGCAGGCCTGGGCGCGGGAATTACGGAAGCTGTGTTCGTGAACCCGTTCGAGGTAGTCAAAGTAACCCTTCAATCTAATAAGCAATTGGCTGCGCAAGTACCGAGCACCTGGACTGTAACCAGGGAAATTGTTAGAGAGAGCGGACTGGGGTTCAGGGGTTTGAACAAGGGGCTGACAGCGACTATTGCGAGGAATGGCATCTTCAATATGGTGTACTTTGGCTTCTACCATAGCGTCAAAGGATACATGCCCGAGTATCAAGTAGGTATATTTTGTTACAAGTATATTCAAATTATATTTATTTAACTAAAGAATATATTTAAATAAAATACTTCACCGGTTTCAAACGCGAAATATATTAGTTAAACACTTCAAATACTGTCTGTAGTTTACGCGTGTAGAACACAGTTAAATAAAAACCTTTTACGGGTTTAAAAGGGGTATATAATTAATTTTATTTAAAAAATGTTTCGGATGCTTTGTTCTAAATTATTAGTTAACTAATATATTTAAAATTACTTAAATAAGTTCAACGAATATATGTCACGTTTTAAATCGTTGAAGTGTTTTTTTTTAATGTGTACTACTCGCGTAGACTACGGACAGTAGGTATTTAAAGAGTATATCTTAGTAATTATATTCTTTCTATATAATATCAAGATTGATTATATCCATTCATAAATCAATTAACTTATAATTTAACACATGAATTAACAATTAAATTGCCGTTCTACCAGAATGCATCTTATAAAATTACGATTCTAAACAAGATAAATTTAAGGAAGTTAACTCTAGGACAGAAGTAGTCCTTAGACTATTATAGGCTTAGGTAGTTCCACCTTGGCCGTAATACGTCAAATTATGTTACTTTTACTAAACGAGTTATGTCGGTTTAAAATAAGGAATAGAAGTTTGTCTATAATATATTAACGAAATGATACACATGTTTATAAGCCCTGTCCTATTACTTATTTTAAAGGGATTATATTTGATCTTATAATAGTACCTAATGCATGGATAACAATGAGTGATCGGGGTCAGGCTGTAGTTACTAAGTGCCTGATACTTACATATATATTAGATATTTAAAAAAACACAAATTATCTAAACAAGATAAATGATAGGTTAGATACAACATTGTCGTCATTTTTATCATCGGTTAACCTCGGTTACTGTTTGTTTTGTGCGACAGTTGACTTAAGATAATGTTATCGGTGATTTCAATTTATAGTTGTGTTCAACTGTCACCATTGCTCAATGGTAATAAAGCGGTTCCTGAAGAAAAACACAAAGTCTGCCCCATGTCCCACATATCGTCTTCTGACTTTTAAATCCTTAAATGAATATAGCCACTAAAACTATTGAATAATAGAACTACACACAGTTATTTTAAAGAATATATTCCCCATTTAAAACAGTTAAAAGTTTGTTTAATTCAATGAGTACTACTCGTTGGGTTTTGTGCTAGTTATATCTGTATGTTGTGTAGTAATATATGTTTCCACGCATTTGTAAACATAGAATGTTTTCTATAGGTAATGCGTTGAGTAAGTGGACTTTGTACATGCAATTACCAATGTATGTACGTAATATATGCACAACTAGTACTGCATTGATAGTGAGTACTAGTCTACTCTAGTAGTTGATAATAATTTTTCATAGAGCATACCAATAACAGGGTAAAACACAAAATCTGTAAAATGTACATCTGTGCCCAATCCAACCGATTCCTTTATTCCAGCGTTACCTATGCTAATATATAAATCTGAAGAGTTTGCTTGTTTTTTTTTAACGCGCTAATCTCAGAAACTACGGGTTCTAATTTAAAAAAAATCTTTATTTGTTGGAAGACTATAGGTTATAAAACATCGCGCTGTGACCAATACCAGCGAAACAGCCGGAAATGTGGAAAAAACAAATTTGGCTGCTCAACATAACTAATTACGCAGACAAAGTCGCTGACACAGCTAATACATAATTAAGCTTTACAGAACGTTAGGTAATGATCAAAGACAGTCAAAGAAGCATATTAACTTTGAAATTTATCATTACAGGATCCCCTATTGGAATTTGGACGGAAAGTGATCATCGGATTCACATCTGGTGTTTTGGGGTCGTGCGTAAATATACCGTTTGACGTTGCCAAGAGTCGAATCCAAGGTCCGCAGCCTACGCCTGGAGTTATCAAGTACAGTTCTACCACTGGAGCGATATACTTGGTGTATAAGGAGGAAGGGTGAGTCCCTGCAGAGTACATACTGTCTTTAGTAACCAATACTCCTAGAATATATTCGAGTGCTTATAGTACTTTCCCAAACATAGTTCTTATAAGATATATCATAGCATGTTATGGGGCTTGGGGCATCCCTGGTCTAGCTAAAGACATGAACATCCGATTAAAAGAAACGAATATAATAATTCTTATAAGTTCCACCAACAAATACAACATTTGTTATGTTAATGTTTGTTAAAGAAATTATTATTTTTTCAAAAGCGTCAATGTGTTCTCTTTTTCTTATCAGTTATTTATTGCTTTATCTTAAAACTGATAACATGAGAGCGATCATGTAAGTGTAACACAGCAGCGTTTGGTAGCATTATTTGCAATATTGACATCATTTTTGCTCTATTATTTGAAGATATGTTTATTCAATGACCGCACATATAAAAATGCAACAATTTACAACCACAGTATCTTGATCGTTCTATGAAAAGGTTTGCGAAACAAAGTATTAATAATTTTATTTAGAGCTCGTATACACATTCACCAAAATAAAAAATCTAATAACTTATAACTGCTTACAATCTATACTAATATATAAAGCTAAAGAGAGTTTGTTTGTTTGTCTGAACGCGCTAATCTCTGGAGCGTCTAGTTCGTTACATCGCACTGCCACTATTAGGTGGGAAGAAAATGGGGGAAAATTAAGTCCCTGACACAGATAGTGCGAGATATGTTAACTTTGTAACTAAACCGTTAGGAAGGTTTTTTTCGTGTTGTGTAGTACTCGCGTATACTAGAGAAGGCTTAAACTTAAATGCTTAAAAATAAAGTCACCTTTCCGATAGTCTGAGATTAGCGAGTTGTTGTTGTATTTCGCGTAAATTTAATCGTCGTCGTGAATCAATGCCCTCTCTGGACCGTATCCAAATGCTTGTGTCTGAAAATACTCACCTTTACCTAAAATGCGAAGATGCATCTTGCTACGATCTGAAATCAAGATTTCAATTAGCCTTGCTTGCGTTAAGAATTTATCGTTTTTTACAGTTGTCAATTTTCTTGACAAAAATATATTATCATGTTTCGTTGAGATCGAGAAGATATGCAAGAAACATTCAAGAGAATATAAATAGAGGTTTTGTTTTATTTATCTGTGTCTGTCTACTTTTTGCTTATACAAATACTTCACTATAGTTTTCAGATTAAAAGGAAATTTCGCTATTGTTATTTTTTATATTTTAGTAGAAGTGTCCGTATTGTGCTATTTTTTTATCATTATCTTTTGGATTATTTAAGAATTCTTCACCCCATCTTATCCACGTTGACATTTTATAAATAACCGAGCCTTCTGTTAAAGTAAAAAAGTAACTTGCCGATAGTTACGAATAGGTATTGTTAATTGTACGAACCACTGTTGTAGCGATGCAGTATCTAAATATAGACTACGCTTGTACTATAAGATGAACTTTGATCTTCAACATATAACATAAACTCTATTTTGTTTCAGTTTTCGCGCTTTGTACAAAGGTTTGTTGCCAAAAGTGCTACGATTGGGTCCCGGTGGTGCGATCATGCTGGTCGTGTATGACTATGTTTACCATTTCTTAGAAAATAAGTTTGAAAAGAAGCCAAATCTTTAGCTATATTAGTTATTATATATTTTCAATGTATTACTAATTAATATTATACGTTCATAACTGCTATAATTAAATATTACTTACTGCCGTCTAGACTGTAGCAAGCGACTACTAAAATTAAAAAAAAACTAAATGCTCTGTGAAAATACATTTCTTATTAATATTACCCATATTGTTACCTGTTAAACATTTATTTGTTCTGTGATATAAAAAAGGTTGTATATTTGTTGTTGATTGTTAATAATATGAGTTTTTAATTAAATTATATTGTAAGACTAAATAGACTTAATTATTAAGTCTACTGTTGTTTACTTAGCATTTACAAATACTGTAATAGCAACTTTGTATATGTATTGTGACTTTTGATTTCTCTTAGAACTGGAATTTACTAGTATTACAATAGGTATTAAAGAGTAAACGAATACATGTTCAGCATTTGTACATTTTTCTCAAATAAATTATTTTATATATTTTGTTTGTTTATGTATACTAGACATACCCTTAGGGGAAAATACCACCAATTATTTATTATTTGCTTTTTGATGTCCTTTTCACTTTCTTTTTTTCAGCTAATGTAAAAAATCAACTAGATATGAGTATTTTCTATTTTAATACATCTCTAGTACTTACGATTGTCTTTAAAATTAATAATCTATTAAATTAGAACATTATCTGTCGTATGACAATGTTAATTGTCAATTTACTTATTTCAACATATGTTTGTGTACTAAGTGTAAACAAATGTTTTTATTTTTATTGATACGTTGGAATTCTTATCAGAACTAAGTACACGGTGTTTGAATTAAATATCGTCATCAAAGCTAATATGGGAATCAACAACTGTGCTAGAAAATAAATATATTTTTGATTATTGCCTTTACAGCTTTTTGTTATGGATCGAATACCGGCTCCTTTAAGTCTACCCCAAATACTTCAAGTTTTTCAACCTACAGTCTCTATGCAGCCGTCTTTGTTGAACCAGGATACTGCACCATCTGATTCTGGTCACAGCTTACAAAATTCTTCTTTGTCATGCCAGCCAATTCAATCACGCACTGCCCAAATACAGACTGAGAATCAGTCCATTACATCATCTCATGTTTTTATACCCGTGCAGCACGTATTAAGTGGTTCAGTAGCACAACAGTATTTTAGAGGGTATAATACATTCATGAAGAATGAGCCATGTTCTAATAAATGTGAACCTCGGGTGACAGTAATCATTGAGCATAATGTGGGAATGTAAGTTATTTTTATCAATTATACTTCTATTATTACTTGCATTATTAAAGAAATAATAACTAGTTAGCCTGTTCCTTAAAACAGTGTACTATGGGCAATCTATTTTTATGTTAATTATTCGAATAAATTTTTATAAAATAATCTATTTATCTTGTGCTGTTTATGAGTTATTAAGAAATGTAATTCCTAATTTTTTACATGTAAATTTTGTAACTTATTTAATGTTATCCAAGTTGTTTATTCCAGTCAATGTGTTATTGCCTATATAAACGCCATTAAAATAAATTATGTTAAATCTTTCAGACCAAGTGACAGTAATGAATTAAAACGAAAACGAGAGAAAAGTACAATATCACGCATTCGTCGATATATACCTGATCCAACACAGTGGAAAAGCAATATCCGTAAGCAGAAATGCCAACGCGGAGAGGCCTACATCAATCGAAGAGGAAAATTAGTCCCAGAAAAACACATCCGCAACACCAAAGACTGCTTGACATCATGCAGACATAAATGCATGGAGAAAATTACATATGAAGACAGACAACTAATATTCAAATCCTTCTATTCTCTAGACGCTAATGAGAAAAAGCACTTCCTTTTAAACACAACAGAGAGGCACTTATACAAAAATAAAGAAAAACCGAGCGATGGCAAACGGAATTATTCATTCAAGTATTTCTTTCTAGTTCGGGCTACAAGGTTTGTAGTGTGTAAGAATTTTTATTTAGGCACTTTAGCGATATCACAGAAACCAGTCTACAATGTGCATTTGAATAAGACAGATGTGAATTTGCCAAAACGGGACGGAAGAGGCTTATCGCCATCCAGCTGTCATGCTTTGCCAAATGAAGCTAAGGATAGGGTCAGGATGCATATAATGTCATTTCAAACTGTAGACTCAAAAGCTGTTACACCATTTTCAGCAAAACGTCAATACTTGAATCAGAGTTTAAATATAAAGCAGATGCATTTGATGTATGTAAAGGAATGTGAACAAATAGGTGAGACTCCATTAAAAGAGTCTATGTACAGGAAGATAGTGAAACAGGAGTTTAATTTGCGGTTCAAATCGGTTAAAACCTGTGGGAAGTGTAAAGAACCAGTTAGTGATAAGTGAATATAATTAATGTCCAACTAATGTTTAAATGAAAAGTGACATAAAACAAATTTCAACATGCCAACTTTAGTTTTTTTGTTTAAATCACATTCAAGTATATATTTCTATAAGTTTTTATACCATTCAAATATATTTAAATACTTTTTCTGATTGTATGAAATTAGGAGCAAGGGTCCTCATTAGAATATTCTCTTTCTTCTAGTACTATATAAAATAATACTGAACATAAAATAAGTAAGAATGTATTGTTATATATTTCCCCCCCTTGACCACGGCTACTGCAAACTAATATATCGCGTTTTAAACCGTTAAAGTGTTTTATTTAAATATATGTATTGTTATATGTAAAAATAGCGGCTGATTGATACATCAAATTGTGCCGATTACTCGTATTAGTATTCATTACTCAAATAATATACTTAGCCATTAATTCAAGAAATATAGATTAGTTACAGGCATGGGGGTTCGCTTGATGCTAAATGAAATACCCCAGCTGTATAATATCTAAACAAAGGTGCACTGTCGACCTATTTTGTTTTTGAATATTCGGAAAATCCAGAAACTGACACTGAAATGGGATGAAACTTGACAGCTATTTTATCTGTCGACAGGGGTCCACTGCCCGGCTGATTAGAAAAATGTCGGACCCGGTTCGGACGAATCGAACTCCCACTTTATTAGCCGTACATTGCTACCATTACACTAACGAGCTAAAAATAAAATATTTGACTGAAGTTGATCTAACACGTTGCATTTTAAGATTTAGGTTGAATTTAGTATGCGATGTTGTAAATGAAAAAAATTACAAATCTGATACGAGTTCCACCATAACTTCCGCCATCGCAATCTGTCCTGACCTTTTCGTTCTATAATAAAATAATCTGCTGGAGATAGATCTCTGTTCGAGGCTGTACACCCATCTATGGTGATAAAGGTGAATTACAAATTTAACATACTTTTTATTTACAGAATGCTTTTGCCAAATTCTTATATTTCTTGTAGACTAGCCATTTCTAACACAAGTTAGTCTAAAGCTAAGTGAGTTTAAATATAAATTAATAAAACAAAACCAAAAGTACATTACTAAAATTTGTTTTTTAACACATTTCACACAAACGTATAATATTGTACAACTTTGGAGATTGAGGCAAGACTATCTTGAAACTTCTTGCTACAATTTATTTATTCTTATGCTAACTTAATTTAACTAAAAGCACATAAAAGCTAATACGTTTTGTATCTAAGTACTGTATTATAATATATCAGTAATATGAAAAACCCGAGCTCCGGTCCGGATTGATATTATAAATAAAGCGCCTGCGATATTTATAAGGCAAATTTGATTTTTGTCCTTTACTTGGATATATTCATGTTTAACGTCATGTTATTTTTAGAGTTATCGTCATTTAAGCTATATAACAAGAGTAGAATTCAATACATTATTACGATTTAATTTAGAAAGCTAAACATAAAAACAAGTTAAATTATTATATTCCGTATTGAATCGACAAATAAAGACATACAATACTGTCTGTAGTTTACGCGAGTACTACACATTGAAATAAAACACTAACGGTTTAAAACGCGATATATATTAATTAAACTTATTTAAAAATGATTTTAACTACGGCCCGACGTTTCGGATACTTTGCAGCAGCCGTGGTCACGGGGAGACGGTATGGAATGGACTAGTCGCATAAACTACAGACGGTAGTTAGATAAATCGGTTTTTTCCTAGTAAGTGACGGCGAAGGATTTGCGTGTTTCTTTTTATAATATGTAATTTATTGTGTTCTAGTATTAAATTAGTTTTTCGTTCACTTGATATGCGCCGGTATCAGGACACAGACTAAGTCATCACCAGCGTCATTCTTCAGCTCCCATTTAACGTCCACTGTGACCTTGGGGTATGATTTAAGGACAGGCAGAGTTGCTTTGTAAGCCTGCTTTTCTCCTGCCTACAAACAAAGTTTAATTAGGTTAAGTTAAAAAAAGATAGCATTGGCGGGATTTCAACCTATGAACAGTGGCTTTCAGCTGTATTAGTTTCTTTACCTTAACTGAGCTATCGTATATTCATTCATGATTTTAATCACTTAAAAAATGTATTTCGTCTACTCGCCACCATAAATAAATGATATATATGAAGAGGATATACATACATGTGTCCGCCTATATGCCCACTGAGGGTCCACGGTTCTTTACTGGTTGGTTTACATGGTTCACATGAAGGTAGGTAAAATACACCAACCATATAACATCTCAAGATGCACTGTCGACCTATTGTGGCTTTGGATATTCGGAAATCCACAGACTAAAACCGACACGCGATTACACTGTACGGCTATTTCACCTGTGGACGGTGGTTTGTGACCCAGGCGAAATTCGACCACCCCATTTAATATCCAGATTTCCAGACTAAGTCAAACATGTTTCAGAAAAAATATTATTTGATAAATTAGAAATATTTTGGAGCCGGTGGGGCTCGAACCCACGACCCGTTGATTATAGATCATAGCCATACATTGCTACCATTAGACCAGCGACCCCGTCAGATTCAAGGAGAAAGGGACTCTTACACATTTTATTTAAATTCTTACTTTATACAATGCCATAGTGTGCAATTTGCGAAAAATATTAAGCCCTTACCTTTAAGGGAGGCCGTTGCCTTTACAAGCATCAGGCTGCGATATAGGGAACGGCACGGGTAGATGCATAATCACACCATGCACCTCCGTTTCGACACTAGAGATGGAGACGGCTACAACAAGAAATCATATTATAAGAAACAAAATTATTAAGATTTTACACAGAAACCGGAAGGCCTGAAGTGAGAGTCGGATAACCCAACCACTTTCGACAAGGTCTGTCATCCGGCCTTCTATCAATCCCCAATAGAAAATAATAATAATAAACAAAAATTTTGATAAATAGCTTTAACGGTTTTAATCGCGAGATATATTCGTTACTAATTTGAAATATATTTTTTACTACGACCCGACGTTTCGGATGTTTTGCAGTAAGAGGGGACTTCGGGGAGAGGTTATGTTAGTTATGCCGTTAGATGTGTTAAATTTAAATAAAAATATTAACTTCATCTAAATGATAACTTTCAAATATAATATTTGTAAAAATAAATAAATAGTTAGTAAAAAATCTTATTTCTTTTGTTTGTATTTTAACAATTGAGCGAACGCGAACGCATCTTGCTACTTAACTGACTGCTTAGAACAAAGCTACTTACTAGGAGTAAAATCAATGCTAATAGTAACATTTGTGTTTCTCTTCAAGATGCAAGTGGTGGCATCTTCTGCGCAGCCGCTGACTCCCACATTTTGTACGCTGGCTAATTTTGAACCTGAAAAGACGGATTGATCTTGTACCAACTACTAATGGAAAGTAGGTAGTAGTGTTGTTTTAACACCGAAGTTTGAGATTGCCCCCAATCCGTTCTTTTGTAGTAGAAAGTAGTAAAAAATTTGATACTAGTTATATTGTGTCATCTTGTAAGTCGAGCTTCATCAGTGTAAAGCACTGAACCTTAAGTGATGATTGCGAAGTTCACTTCATACAGTTGCGACAGTACATTAAGTAGACTATGTATTTGCCTTGCATAGTGTTGGACTTGTTCACGTAAAAGCAAAAATCAAAAAACGGTATTACTGTAAAATTATCAATATAAAAAGCTTAAACCAACACGAAACAATTTTAATAATTTTCATATGTTATTGTACCTGATAGCAACATATAAATTAAAAATCGATTACTGAAGTCCTGCCCGAGTAGTATTTATTTTTTTCAGATTATAGTCGATTTTTAATTAACACGAAACAAATTTAACTGTAATTACCATGACTCTATAGCTTTTTCACATTTACCGTTCTACATAATGATATTAAAGGACAAAATATAAAAAGCCCTGCTATTCAGGGCGTTGGAGTTATCAAAATTGAAATTAATTCTTATTCATAGCTTTTTGACAGTTATTACAACTTCAAAGAGTTAAGACCCCTTTTCCTTTTTCTTGACAGTTAATTAGTTAACCGTAAAATTAATTAATAATTTGTAAATATTAGTTTCCGACGTTTACTACGAAATTAAGTAATACTATCTTTGATTCTAATTTCATTACAAAAAGACTTCTTATACTAGGGTTTAGGAAATAATATTTTGAAGACTATAAGTCGCTAATACGTAATTAATCTTTTCTACTAACATTATACAGACAAACAATTAAACCACAGAGGTAATAAACCTTTATTACCAAACCGCTGGACCGGTTTTGATAAAATTTGACAATGTTCATTATAAGCCCTTAAACGAGACCCGCACATAACTCATGAAATGACAAGCGTCAGTTAAAACAAATGAAGCATTTATCCTTTAAAATCTGTCGTTTCTATTGATCTGAAATTAATAATCTGTTTAAAGTAGATAACGTTTATGCTACGTGCGTGCAAGAATTAAACAAATTAAGTTATATAAGTCCGTATTTGGTAATAGTCAACACGTTTTACTTGTAATGCAATTCCTACTTAAGAGCTAATATACATACTGGGATTTGAAGACAAAGATTTTATCACAACTTTATATGTATTATGTATCATATGATTTTTCCTTAACTACGTGTGCATTCTCGGTTAATGTATAAATTGTATGTTTCGCTAATCATAGCAAATTGTTGTATCTTATTTGTTGTAATGTATATTGTATCCTTATCTCGTACTGCGTATGTTCAATATATTCTATTATAATTATAATAAGTACCTACCCAAAGTGACAATGAAAACAATTTATGAGATATAATGAATGTTTATCAGTCATAATGATTCATGCTTAGCTGACCTTTTAAAGAAAACAAAGGAAAGTAATAAACAAACAATATTATATTTCTAATATATTACTTTTCAATAAATTTATGAAAACAGAGTTGTTCAATTATCTGTATTATTAAATTGTTTTTGTTACACAAAACGATCCCCGGCTTAGGACATTCAGAAGTAAATATTAATACTCGGTAATATTAAATAAACAATCGATGTATGTAACGTTTAAATTTTTTTTAATTGTCAGCGTTTATATGAAAACCAAATGAATATACTTTTTTAGTAGATTGAACAATGAAAATAACTAAATCCTCTTTGGTTGAATATAATAACTCTTTAGACTCACCGCAATCCGTGTAGAACTTAGCTTGTGCACTGGCCACTAATAAAAGAATAAAAAAGTAAAACATTTTTGTTTAGTTTGTGATAAATCGCGCGCTAACGAAATGGACAACTCGCGCGTTTGCCACCAACTGACCGATCGCGATAGGATGGGCTTGTTTAACACGACCTTTATGGTTCTTTATAATGCGCCAGCGCAGGTCAAAGAGTATCAATTATTATTGTTCTCTTTCTTCAAAAGATAAGGGACAAAGATCGCGCAAATGTTAAACCGACGGAACTAAAAATATGTCGTTTACAACAAGCAATTGTAGGTACAACAAAATTGAGGCTCGTTAAGCACAATTTAAGAACCACTACGTAGATAAAAAATCACCCCATGAGTCCATATTTATTACGTAAGTAAAAACTTGACGTCAAATAATCGTAAATTTTTGAAAATTTATTTTTCATTTTTACAATAAAAAGGAAAATAAAATCTAAAATTATTAGTTGACCATTTTACAAATTTGTGTAATAAATTAGTAGCATCTATGTTAATAAATTAAATAATCTTTGCATCGACCGGAAGGGCATTAGGTCTGTGCAAATGTTTCAGGAAAATGGCGCGAACGCGTTGCGCATTACTGATTTGAGCTGCCATTGATATGGATTCGGCTATTGTTATTTGTAAACATATATTTATATTAATTATTTTTATTGTTAAAATATTTTCTATAGAAATAGTTGTTACTTGAGACTTAGTAAGGTAACTTCAAAGCTTGTATGTGAACTAAAAACTGTTAGAAGCCTACGATTCCGTAGACCGAGCAAATTAGAAAAAACAACAAATTCAACTTTAGCATATGATTGTTTTTCGGGCTGTTGAAGAATTACTAATTCGAGCAATCGAGGAGTTAACATCTCCTGATGATGCCGTCCGCGCGTGACGGCGAAACGTCGAGAATCTCTTCTCGCTTACATCGGCCGAACAGCCCAAAAGACAATGATATGCTGAACGATAGCCGTGAAAGTCTTACACAATTTATTAAATAAACTTCAGTTTTATGATAAACACTACTATAATTAATATTATGGATAAATTAGCGAAACGAATTAAATCCCCTTTTACCACAAATAATAGAAAATTTCACCTTTAACCAGAAATAATTGAAATCAGCGTCTCTAAAAGGTAAGTTCCTAAAATTTACGAGTATAAAAGACAAGTACTAAAGTAAAATTAATGTTGTACCTGTCAAAGTATGTACAATAAAAAGTATGTAAGAATAAAACCGTTTAAACGCGAAATATATTAATTCTTCTGTTTACAAGTCATTTAAAAAAAAGCGCCAATAAAACCTCGAATAATTTTGGTGACGCATTTTGTGTTACAAATAAATTTAAAATTTTCAATGAATAAAATAAAGAAAAAAGAAAACTACTGCCTAAAGTTTCGGATGCTTTGCAGAAATCGTGGTCACTTACTTCTTCACACGTTAATCTAAGTTGCAACGTCTAATTGTAATGTCCTTAATAAAGTAATGTCTCTCGCTAAGATAAAAGTCTAAAGTGCAGTTCACAGAATTTCGTGTGAACGCCCACGTTACATTTTATGCGTCTTCATTTTGCTGGTACATGCTATAAAAGGATGCCTTAATTATTTATTAGCTTTAGCCTATACTCGTTTCGTGATTGCATCATATGTTTCACAAACAGTGTTGTATATAGGCTGGAATAACAAAAGGGAAGTCGAAGTTGGTCTTTGGCGAAGCTGGAACAGATGGCGCTAGCGTAGCACTTTTTTACTTTGACCACAATGACACCCTCCATCTTTAGTCTCGCCATGACCACGGCTGCTGCAAAGCATCCGAAACGTCGGGCCGTAGTAAAAATAATTTTCAAATAAGTTTAACTAATATATATTGCGTTTTAAAGCGTCACAGTGTTTTATTTTACTCGCATAAATTACAGACAGTATTTAACATTATAGAATTCCACAGAGACATTTATGAATATAAAACCATGGATAGTATTCTCAACTAATTCTGTATAATGAATATAGTTTCCGCGAGTAGTACACATCTAAATAAAACACTTTAACGGTTTAAAACGCAATATATTAGTTAAGGTCTCCCCGTGACCACGGCTGCTGCAAAGCATCCGAAACATCAGGCCGAAGTTAAAAATCATTTTCAAATAAGTTTAACTAATATATCGCGTTTTAAAGCGTTAAAGTGTTTTATTTCAATAATTCTGTATACTGAATAACACAATAACACGAATAATTCAACTAAAACGTGATCAGCTCCTCTCTTGATCCTTAGAAAGGACATTTCGTAGATATCCGTTGAGCAATTTGTCCTTATTTGGCGATGCAACTAAAATTGTGTCTCGCAGAGTTAATACCATTTTAGAAAATCTTTATGTGATTATGTGCACTGTTAATATTATAGAGTAATTGGAAACGAGTTTAGTTAATTGCTAATATGTGATGCTTAAGGGATCGTTGGTGTATTGGTATCAAGGTATGGCTAATAATCCACGGGTCGTGGGTTCGATCCCCACCGGATTCAACCTTTTTTTCTAATCTATTAATATTTTCTCTGAAAACTTCGTGTTCGGATATTCAATGGGTGGTAGGAATATCGAAATTTCGTCCACAGATGAAAGAGACGTCAAGTTTAGCGTTATCAGTCTGTGGATTTCTGACTATTTGGGTAGTTGCCAAATTAGGACGACAGCAACCATCTTTTATAGATATTATATGGCCACAAATAAAAATATGTACTATATATTTACAGTCTCCCCGTGACCATGGCTGCTGCAAAGCATCCGAAACGTCGGGCCGAATTTAAAAATCAATTTTCTAATAAGTTTAACTAATATATCGCGTTATAACCGTTAAAGTGTTTTATTTCAATGTGTACTACTCGCGTAAACTATAGACAGTATTTATATACTATATATGTTATATGGTAAAATGAGCTATAAAGGATAACTTAAAACATGAGTTGGGACATTATGATTCTCTATTTTACATTAACATTACACAGAGTTATTTTTTGTCCCATGAAACATCAAATTTTATCAAAATCTCTAAAGCCGTTTGGGCTTGGAAGAACAAACATGCCTTTGTAATAAAAACTTTGAAATCAATGTTATTAGTAATAAAATGTACATCTAATAACTTAAAAAATATTAGGTACATTTTATTGAGTTTTAGGGTTAGAATATATTTCGCACTAGTTCCGTGACCTACTCTATTCTTAGAGTCCTTAATTTGATGTATTAATCCACGTTAGTCGTCGGCTCTGCGGAGTATTATTAATACTGCAAGTCCGTAATAAACTTAACGTATACATAAAAATATTAGCCACAGGGTGACCACGGATTTTGTTTATTTGGGACACTGAGTGCTCTTTCTTGTCACATATTACTAACAATTAATTCACCTAAAGTAAAGCTATGTTTACCATACTTATAATATTAAACATCACACGGCATAGGTAAAGCGCATTTTCTAGGTAATTGTTAAGCACGAGAGGTTCTAATACCGAGAATTAAAATAAATACAAATAAAGCATAAGTAGTTTAATATTATATAAATAGTTAGTCACATTATCAACTACTTGCCTGTAAATACTTTTAAGTACACGGACATTTAAATATGCTGGTCGTGCATATGGGAAATTAGATTTCACACTTAGATTAAAATAACAAATTAGTTCAGTATAAAGTTCTTTAAATGTGGTCTTTGTGAAAGAAGAGGACTGACAAACATGGGTTGTATTTGATAGAAGTTAAAATAAATTGTGTAAGGCTTTCACGGCCATCGTTCAGCATATCATTGTCTTTCACGGCCATCGTTCAGCATATCATTGTCTTTCACGGCATGTTCAGCATATCATGTCCTGTTCGGCCGATGTGAGCAAAAAGAGGTTCTCGACGTTACGCCATCACTTGTGGACTCATCATCAGGAGATATTAACTCCTCGATTGCTCGAAGAATTAGAAGTTGAAATAGTTTGACGACCCGCTCGTATTTTGGCTTTGAATATTTGTAAATACAGATTTTGATAGCGAAACGCAACTTCTTGCCTTTATCTGTGGATGGTGGTTCGTGAACCAGAGAGAATTCCCTACCTTCCATTTAATACCCAAATTTCTGGACGAAATCCAGTATTTGAAAGAATAACAATTTTTTGAAATATAGTGAACACAGGGATATCGAGTCCATGATAGACCAACCAAATGGGACTAACGAGGCCTTCAAGGCCTTTACAAGGGGTATTAAAACAAACGCGAAGCTTTTATTTTTTTATATATCAGGTTTATTCCCTTTACAGAATGGACACCCTAACATACTATTAACTATCCCAGGAGATGCTTACCGTGTAATAAAGATGGTTTGTTTTCTTAGGATTAAGGCGCACCTTTATAGATTGTATCTTTTTAATTACAAAGGGTCCACACCACCTCATAAATGCTCTGGATTATAGGAGACCTTTTGACCGCAAAAATATTTTGATAAAATTTTAATTCTCCGTTGCTTTGTTATTCACGTTTAAAAAGGGCGAGAAAATGCATTCAAAACAAAATACAAAGTAGCCAGCGTATTTACACTGTTCTTGTTCTATTAGTAGTTGATACGCAGTACTCATAAAACGTTCAGTAGTACGATTTCAAAAGCTTAGTTTAATTTAAGTACGTATAAATCACGTTCTTATTCGTTTAAAATATGTTTTATTTGTTGTGCATTCAAAAACTAGAGGTACAACACTCGAACTCCGCAGGTGAACGAATAATTCGTAAAACGGCACGTTTGATGTCTCAAAATAGTAAATGGTTATTTCCTATCGACTATTATCCTATATTGGTTATTATTGGTAATTGGACACACCCACTTATTCTCGTAAGTCATCACCACCATTCAAAGCTCCTTCTGTATTGGTTGTAGTACTCGTGGAGTTTCCTATTGTGTTATTGTTATATGATCATACTAAAAGCAAATTAAATTGATAGTTAACAATGAAATAATTCTGATATTTAATTCTACATAAAGTAAACTACATCAAATAACTTTTTACAACACGGGCAGGGCTTCAACCGGCATCCATGTTCCGTGGTGCTTGCTCTTCTAACCAATTGAGTTACGGCGTCATTTTAATGATAAATTGAGGCTGACTAGAGGCAGAGTGGCCTAATAACAAAAAAGTCGTTTTCAAAAAGGAGGAAAATAAAAATGCGCAATTAACTTAACGAAAGTAAATTCGTACTATAAGTATGTTGTTGAGTTTTGGTCACTGTGCTCTGGTAGATTAACGTTTTAAGTCATAAAATTGCAGTTGGGCTACTCTGCCTCTGGCTGCCTCAATTAATAATTATAGTTTTTATTATTTTTCTATTTATTTTGCAATGTGCAATAAATATGTGACATCGATTGTCAAATAAAATAACTGTCGTTCTTCTCTTAACAAGACTAACAAAATCATAGAACTTTTTTGTTATTTGTACTCAAGGATAGCTTTGCTAATCCACCATTAAATACTACTTATGTGTCAAACGTCAATTTGCGTAATTGACGGAACCTTGTTATTATAAGTACATTTTGGTTGTTTAGCCATTTTGGTCATTCGTTTTGGATAATTATTTTTATTATATGTTTACATACACCTTACACATATTACGAAGCTGTTATTATTTTATTTGATGTAGTGTGGGTGTAGTTAATTATATAAATATGCCATCTCCTTTGAACTATCAGTTTGTGTAGATAAATTATTTTATTGATGTAATACCGGCGATGCTCTCTTGTAAAACAGAAGTCCAACTACTATTATGCTTCAAAAGCGTTAAATAATTTTTAATCGTGACTAAATAACATTTTCTTATTACATAGGGGGCAACCATGGAGCTCACTCTGTGAAGGGTTAAATATAACACCATGTAGATTAATTAAGACTTGCTGTAGACCTATTCTGGCTTTGGAGGAATCTCCACTGTGTGTAAATAGAACTGAACGTGGATTTATAGCTTTCTTATACATGAATTGTAACCATCCACTTAAAGTCCTGATATTTCAACGATATCTAGCGTAGTTTTCAACCATTCTACACCTGGTGGGAATCAATCCCACGACCCGTTGGTTATTAACAAACACTACCTTTGGATTAACTAGGCCATCAAAATGAAACACGATAGCATGGACACAATATTTTATTTCACAATCTCAAGTAAAATTGGAGCCAAATACGATTACAATTCAAATATTAATCTGAAAAACTAACTATATTTACAACAAATTTACCAGCCTTAGTCTCTATAATGACACAAAATCATGTTACGATTAATACTTATTTTAAACAGTGTTAAAGGATACTTAAATATTTAGAATTTTGTATACATAAAAGCACTGAGAGAAATGTAGAGGTACGACTTATATGTAATGAAGAAATAACGAGATATTTTAATAAAAACAATTTAGTCTTAAAATTGGAGTTAGACGAACAAGCGTGTGACAGTTATTTCTAGATAGAGTTGTTGATGGTTTAAGTGATATTAAAAGCAGGATATCATAAATGTTATACTTTACAACAATATGATTTGTCTTTTTTATAGATATTGATACATACTATAAAACAAACGTTATTTATTTTTTTTTTTTATAGGAAACGAAATAAACCCCACGTGAGCGATTGAAACTCCCACTTATCAATTTTAGATCACTAAAACGTATAGTTTTAGTCTTCATAGAGGACAGATAAGGGTGAAGTTCATTGCATAAAAAAATAGGCCTTATAACATTATTAAAACCTATGTTGGCTTTGCATACTGAGAAAAAAATATCGTTAGATATAAGATTTTTTTGTTGAATCTAACAATATTTTATGTTATAATGATATGTAAAAGTAGTAAGAAATTGAAATATTTTCCATCAAAACAACAGAGCTAAATTACATATTATAATATGTACAATAAATAGTTTAAAAGTGAAGGTGGGAAAGTGGAGGTTACAAAACAGTGTTTTTCATCAAATAAATGGAATTGAGTCGTATTACATTGTACTTTCGGTAATTGTTTTGAGTTCGTGGAAAGAGTTTTCAGTTAATACGAATAGAAACTAGAAATTGACAATGTTTTGCTAACCTAGCAAGTGAGATAGAAAACCAGGTTCTACGAAATTAAATTATTTCGTTGTAAAGTGTGTAGAAAGAAACATACATAAGGAATGGAGATATTCTTCGCGCGAAGCAAATCTGTATAACAATGAAATTACAGTAAAAAGCTTTACCTCTCAAGCGCTACATTAACGCTATTATGTTCATCTTGAAAAGAGAATATCCATTTCAGGCCACACGCGGACAATACATTGAAAACACTTCTAAGTATGTATATAACATTAAAATTGGCAACACTTAAACCGCAGATGTTATTGACATAACAATTTTTTATGTAGTTTTAACACATGCGGTTGAAACAATCGATAATGGATAGATATCCAGCGGTTTTCGGGATATGTTGGTGCTGGGCGCAGACCTCGCGTCTACCGGCCGAGACCCGTCCACAGCAGTCCTGGGTCGTGGTGATTCGCCCCCGGGTAGCCCCCGAACGCCTCCAGGTCCGATCTGCGATTGTAAGACCTACATCGGTCATACAAAAGATTGCTTACATACTTTACCGACTCTCATTATTCACAATTTATATATGCTTGCAAATCTGTATTTAACGGTTAAGAACATAATATATTTTTTATTTAATTTTTACTGAGATCTGGTGTTTTGTACGTGTTGCAGCATTGGTAAGCTATTAAAATAAAATAGAAATACGTTTACTCGGAAACATTACAAAATGTACAATTGAAACATATCAATATATACTAATATTATAAAGAGGAAAGATTTGTATTTTTCTATGTTACGGATAAACTCAAAAAGATTTTCTGACTTCTAAGTCTTTAAACAATATACCGCACATATAGTACCTACAAAACTATATTATGAATATTATATATAGCACGGAACGCTGTGGATGCCGATCAAGTTTCGCCCGTGTCATGGATTTTTTCAATATACAATTTCATTCACGGTAATGTCATGATAGTTAATTAATTTACCGTGTGTTGTGATATATAAAGAATAATTGTAAATAATTATTTTTAATTTTAATTTTGTTCCCATATTGGGTGTTGTGACAAAATGATGGCAGTTCCCACCTGATATTACCAGTAGGACGCAGGGGACGAAGCGCGTGGAGTCTCCGCATGCCGGTACCACCACCGCCGGCACCTACAAAAGATCAAAGAACTGTTATTTAAACAATTGTAACCGTATAAAACGCGAAATATATTATATAACTCATTTACAATTTATTTTAACTATGGCACGACGTTCCGGACGCTTTGCAGCTGCCTTAGTTTCGGGGGGTCTGAAGATGGTAGTCCCAAATGCCAAAGTTAAATCTAAATAAAACACTTTACGTGCAGCAGCCGTGGTCACGGGGAGACCCGTGACCACGGCTGCTGCAAGGCATCCGAAACGTCGGGCCGTAGTTAAAATCATTTTCAAATAAGTTTAACTAATATATCACGTTTTAAACCGTTAAAGTGTTTTATTTAAATGTGCATTACTCGCGTAAACTATAGACAGTATTTAAATCTGTTACGCATTAAAGCGATATATAGCGTTACGTACGCTCAATTTTTTGTCATAGAGGACAGACAAAGCCGGGGCTCAATTGATGGAAGCTGAAATACCCCAGCCATGAAACATTTAACCAAGTAACCTGTGTGCCTTGGATACAAAAAAATCAAATTGAAACCGAAACGTATATATACTTGACGGGTTTTCATGTGTCCACCCCCCAAATATACAGATTTCCAGACGAAGTCCAATTTATTTCAGAAAAATTATAAATTGATTACAACATGTTGGGGTAGTGGGGAGGGAACCCACGACCCGTTGATTATTAACCATACATAGCTACCATTAGACCATCGAAACAATTGAATTGTTTTCGCTACATGCCATCAGGTAAACTACAAAACTCAATGTTACAATTTTCTCGTTGTTTATTTTCATGTAATGCATACGATGTAAGTTAAATTAGTTGTGTGCAGCGAGTCACAGTAAAAACTAATTTTATCACAATCAAGAGTAACAACTCTTTGTTATAAGTTGTATTTTCACATACATTAAATTTAGTGAACTTTGATTAAGTTTTACTTAAAGCGAGTTAAAATTCATACCTCGTTTGTAACTTAAATATGACAATACTTGTACTTCACAACAAGTTTACTATGACATTTCGTGTGAAATGTGCATGGAACATCGGCGATGCATAAACTTTGTTCTTGCAATAGAAGCTATTTATGTATTGTACAAAAATGTTATTTTTTTAATCTTACAGTTTTTTTTAAAGTCGCTATTTTTAATATTATATGTTTTTGTGTAGATATAAAGAAAGTTAAGTAAATAATCAAAATTCATATTCAATTAATATTTAAATATCGATTTGAAACGAACGCAATGTTCCGAAAGTTTTGTTTTCATAAATGTATTCGTACAGTAGTGTGCAGTAGTGCTATTTGGGGCGAACAAACAATGTTTTCTATCTGAAACGAGGTGTAATATTATCTTGGAATCAAATTTTTGCGTATGGGTCTGGAGTCAGCTATTTTTAGAGATCGTAAGTCATATGATTTTATTTTGAGACACGCTTAACTATTTTTGCGTATTGGAAGTTATTTTTTTTCATCAATAATCCTTTAACTAGTACGTAAATATTCTGTGGTAAACAATAAAACATATTGTGTTTTTGTGAAGCTTTTTTTATAATAGGGGTATTAAGTAAGTTGTTTAAACATATTATTTCACTCCACTAACCGCATCTCTTTCCTCTTTCTCTCCTTTACCAGTCCTACACCTTTCAATTTTTTCAACTTATTGATACATCCTCTCCCAATGTAATTTCTACCTTAACTTGCGTATTAAGGCTCAATTCTTATGCTTTGCAGCTTAAGAAATATTGAAGATGAAATTACAAAGTTATAACTTTGAAAACATTAATATTTTTCACATGTTATTGCACATGAAGGCACTATATAATTTAAAAATGAAATAAATTGATTTTTTTTTTTTCACCCAACTCCCTTACTTTCCTCTTTCTCTACCAATTAGCTCCGTCCTCACCTCATTAATTTTTTCAACTTTTGATACATCCCTCTCGCCAATGTAATTTCTACCTTAACACTTGCTTTAGCTCAATGTCTTATGCTTTCACTTAAAAATCATTGAAATAAATTACAAAGTTATAACGTTTGAAAACATTAATATTTTTCACATGTTATTCACATGAAGCACTATATAATTTAAAAATCGAAAATAAATTGAAAAAATTTTCGACTCGGGCAGACTTGAACCGGCATCGTCACTTTCCGTCTGTTGCTCTACCAATTAGCTACCGAGTCCTCACCTCATCGTCAATTTTTTCAACTTATTGATCATGCACCTCTCGCGCAATGTAATTTCTACCTTAACACTTGCGTATTAAGGCTCAATGTCTTATGCTTTGCACTTAAAAATCATTGAAGATGAATTACAAGTTATAACGTTTGAAAACATTAATATTTTTCACATGTTATTCACATGAAGGCACTATATAATTTAAAAAAATCAAAATAAATTGAAAAAATTTTCGCTCGGCAGACTTCCGGCTCTCAGCTTTCCGTTTTGCTTCCTTGGCTACCATCCTCCCTCATCGTAATTTTTTCAACTTATTGATACATCACCTCTCGCCAATTAATTTCTACCTTAACACTTGCGTATTAATTAAAAATTTTTTCAATTTATTTTCGATTTTTTAAATTTATAGTGCCTTCATGTGCAATAACATGTGAAAAATATTAATGTTTTCAAACTTATAACTTTGTAATTTCATCTTCAATATTTCTTAAGCTGCAAAGCTAAGACATTGAGCCTTAATACGCAAGTGTTAAGGTAGAAATTACATTGCGCGAGAGTGCATGTATCAATAAGTTGAAAAAATTCGACGATGAGGTGTAGGACCCGGTAGCTCAATTGGTAGAGCAACACCGGAAAGCTCATGCCGGTTAAGTCCTCCCGAGTCGAAAATTTTTTCAATTTATTTTCGATTTTTTAAATTATATAGTCCTTCATGTGCATACATGTGAAAAATATTAATGTTTTCAAACTTATAACTTTGTAATTTCATCTTCATGATTTCTTAACTCAAAGCATAAGACATTGAGCCTTAATACGCAATTTAAGGTAGAAATTACATTGCGCGAGAGGTCATGTATCAATAAGTTGAAAAAATTCGACGATGAGGTGTAGGACTCGTACTCATTTGAGCACAGCACGGAAAGCTGACATCGTTCAAGTCCTGCCCGAGTCGAAAATTTTTTCAATTTATTTTCGATTTTTTTAAATTATATAGTGCCTTCATGTGCAATAACATGTGAAAAATATTAATGTTTTCAAACGTTATAACTTTGTAATTTCATCTTCAATGATTTCTTAAGCTGCAAAGCATAAGACATTGAGCCTTAATACGCAAGTGTTAAGGTAGAAATTACATTGCGCGAGAGGTGCATGTATCAATAAGTTGAAAAAAATTCGACGATGAGGTGTAGGACTCGGTAGCTCAATTGGTAGAGCAACAGCACGGAAAGCTGACGATGCCGGTTCAAGTCCTGCCCGAGTGGAAAATTTTTTCAATTTATTTTCGATTTTTTAAATTATATAGTCCTTCTTCAATAACATGTGAAAAATATTAATGTTTTCAAACTTATAACTTTGTAATTTCATCTTCAATATTTCTTAACTGCAAAGCATAAGACATTGAGCCTTAATACGCAAGTGTTAAGGTAGAAATTACATTGCGCGAGAGGTGCATGTATCAATAAGTTGAAAAAAATTCGACGATGAGGTGTAGGACTCGGTCTCAATTGGTAGAGCAACAGCACGGAAAGCTGACGATGCCGGTTCAAGTCCTGCCCGAGTCGAAAATTTTTTCAATTTATTTTCGATTTTTTAAATTATATAGTGCCTTCATGTGCAATAACATGTGAAAAATATTAATGTTTTCAAAGATGTGTAATCCCGTTTCCCCTCGTGGGGCACGGGGCGAACACGTCTCTGTGTCCGTTTCAGTGATCGGTTTTTATTCACAGGCAAGTAGTTGATCAGTCTTCCGTGCCCTGCCCGACCGAAACAATTAATTGTTTCCCTGGGATTCGATCCCAGGACCTCACATGCAATGCTAGGCAACACGTTTAACCAATTAGCTACAAAGGCGGTCCTAAGTAAGAACAATTAATAAAATATTTAAATAGGAAATATAGGACTTTTAAATTATATATATTTATATAATTGATAAAAGACCCTCTAACAAATAATGTAATTCACGTTAAAACGCGTTTGCCGCCTTTATTAAAAACACAAAGATAGTAAAATAGACAAAAGGAAGTAAGTCATAATAAAAATACAAATTTCGTCATGATTTTCCTTAATGATATCTGATCTTGTTTAATTCTGATTTTTTTTATTAAAACGCAATTTTCTTATTAAGGGATCGTATGACAGAGGATAAGTGTTAACTATGACGGTCCATGAATATATATTTCCTTCCGACATCATTTGTAATTTGTTCGCGTTGCCGGTCGGCGACCTTAAGCTAACTACATACGTTTTGATGATTGACCATATCATTTTAAAATAATTAGTTTAAAATTTAAATAACGATTATATTTATCGTATTTTTAATGAGATTGTTATAATTATTGATAAGGAATACTAGTGTTGTACTGTATTGTATTTTTACGGTGAACATAAAATAGATATTGCATTGAGAGAAGTTTATTTTTTTTTAATTATATTTACGAATAGACATAATATTTATGCCCGTGTTTAATGACATGTTTCGAGGGCACAGCTAGTCAAATAATACTGTTAAAAGAACTTACCAGCAGACGGAGCGTGGACAACAGTCGGCGGTTCCTGGAACAGTGTGGACCGCTGTTCCGGTGACAGAGAAGCCAAGGTCTCGAGGTTGTCACGCAAGGAGTCGAAGAAGGACCCGACATCGTTTAGGACACCTGTTTTATACAAATTATCATTGTTTACATTTTAGAAAGGAATTTATATCTTCCGTTGTGCACTTAAAACTCATAGATTAATCATCAGACAGATAAGCATGGGGTCACATGGTGGTAGATGAAATATCCCAGCCTTATAACATCTAAACAAGATGCACTGTCGATCTATTTTATCTTTGGATATTCGATAATCTACAGGCTGAAAGCTAAATGCGATTATTCACGACTTTATCGTCTGTGAACGGTAGTTCGTGATCCGGATTTGAGATATTTACAAAAAAAAAAGAAAAATTATACATTGAGAAATAAGAAATAGGTTGGACCCGGTAGGGATCGAACCCACGACTTACGATTGCACCAACGAGCATGTCATAATTATCTCTGACAATTGACAACATCATTAGACTTTGTCGGACTCGGGAGCGCGGACGGTGTGGCATTACAAAAGACGATCGCACCTGACTCGTTAGTAAACTTATTCGATTCAAACGTAACTTGATATTCAGATTTCAATGTTGACATTTCAGCGTTTCAGCTGCAATTATAACGACACAAGCTTTGCTTCGCCTTACTTCAGAAATTAAATTATTCTTCTGAAATCTAAATTATTCTAAATTCTATTGTTTATTGACTTTTATTTCACTTCCAGAAGTGGAATCGAGTTCTTGAGAATTTTTTACTTGATACTTAAAAATAATGTGTATGAATTGATATAGACTGTTTCGCATTTTATATAATTTCTTTATCAAACAACTTCTATAAGTGTGCTATGGCATTTCTCTTGCGTATCGCAAAAAGCAAACGCAGTGTCTGGCCTTTGACAATTTGGTCAGACTTTTGCCTCTTGCCTTCCCCAGGATTGGACCCAGGGTTTCATATTAACTATTAATCCACGGTGGCGTATAGTTTTACGAATCATGTCTCAATAATCTAAATTTAAAATATCAAAATGAACAAAATGTTTTAGAGTTCCTTCTTTCAATATGTTCATGACACAATAAAAACAGAAGAGAACAGACATGGTACAATAATAAATGGTAAGAAAAAAGCCGCATCGACGTTGCTTACCGACGCCGACATACGGCGTGACAGCCTTACCGAGCGAAGGCGTCGGCTGCCGACGACGTCTGCCGTTCAGCGCTGTCGCCACAGCAGACCTCTTCTCGGAGCTAGACCTGGGTAATAGGAGAAACTTAATAACTATTGTTGAATAATTCTTTTTGTTTAAATAAAACACTTTAACGGTTTAAAACGCGATATATTAGTTAAACTTAATTGAAAATGATTTTTAACTTCGGCCCGACGTTTCGGACGTCCTGCCCGAGTGGAAAATTTTATCAATTCATTTTCGATTTTTAAATTAATTTAATTTTTGTTTTTTTTTTGTCAGCCAGTCATTCATTCAAATTGGATAAGTAGTTTTGAACAAAGATCCGATCTTTTTATTTAGAATAATGTTTATTAGACGATCATTTGAGCTATGGCTTCACTTACCAGGGTAAAGTGTAGCTAAGCTATGCTCTGCGCTTAAAAAGTTCTTGCTCAGGCCTAAAGCCTTAAATATTATGGATGACAAGACAAGATGGCGCAAAGTTTTTTTCTTCAACCTATTTTGTTTGGCATTCTTTACAGCTACAGTCTTACCTATAATCATCATCATAGTTTGTGTCGTCTTCTTGATTCCTATCGAGTTCAGGGCGTGGCTCCCACCGATTGTGAAGCAACCAGGGCCTTTGGGCGAGTACTCGCAGTAAGTCCATGCTGTGTACACGATAGTCTTTTGTTTGGGCCTGGGCTAAGGTTGCTCCTAGAGGAAAAAGTATGGTTATTTCGTAAACTTGAGTTGATCCAATCTCTTTAGTAAAATCGTGTTAAATTTTGATAAAAGTTAACGGTCAGCCTCCCCGTGACCACGGCTGCTGCAAAGCATCCGAAATGTCGGGCCGAAGTTAAAAATCATTTTCAAATAAGTTTAACTAATATATCGCGTTTTAAACAGTTAAAGTGTTTATTTAAATGTGTACTACTCGTGTAAACTATAGACGGTATTTAAAAGTTAACGGTTTAATACGCGAAATATATAGGTAAAACTATTTTTATTAAATTTTTAATATGACTGGACGTTTCGGATGCTTTTCCCCAACCGCGGTAATAAAAATAAGTTAGTTGATATATTTCTCGTTATAAATCGTTAAATGTGTTTTATTAAATTCAAACAATTTATTTTACACATATACATATAATGATAAAGAATTTTAAATTTTAACGTAGTAATTGTATACAAAGAAATGTGCTTGTGAATTGGGTATGCTCAGCTCTTGCGTCACCACATAAGACTGTTGATGCGCCGGTTTCCAGTTCTCGGGCGGTTTGAATACTACTACAGACTACAGACAATACTAAAAATACACTCTGAATTAAGTTAATGCGGAGCTAAGTCCCACAGGTGCAGTAACGTGCTGAGGTTTAATGAACAATCATCGTTTTATGTAGTTTCTGTCTGTAGTTTACGCGAGTAGTACGCAGTTAAATAAAACACTTAAATGGTTTAAAACGCGATATATTTTAGTTAAACTTATTTGAACGGCTTCTGCAAAGCATCCGAAACATCGGTCCGTAGGTAAAAACAATTTTTAAACCGTTAAATTGTTTTATTTAATTGTGACTTTATAATTCCTGCCTTTGCGACGAGATTTGCATGTATCAATGGGTTAAAATATGACGATGACCTATAAGACTTGGTAGCACAATTGGTTGGATCAACAGCACGGGACGCTGTGGATGCCGGTCGAAATCCTGCCCGTGTCGCAATTTTTTTCAATGTATAATAAATTTTTAATTTATGCTGTACAATTAATTTTTGATTTGCCTTCATTAAAAACAGATTTAGCACATATAATTTAAGACGGGGTTTGGGTTCGATCCCCACCTGATCCGACACGTTTTTAATTAATTCATGAATTTTCAAAAACATGTTCGACTTCCCCTGGTGATCTAGAAATTATTTAAGTGGTAGGAATAAGGACATTACACACACGTAATTGGTTGGTTCGATTATTAAAATTCGGACGAAACAAAACACTACTTAATTTAAAAAAACGTCTTTATCGCTTTTCGATTGTGTTGATCTGTTGTTGAGACCGTAGGCAGACAGGTCACGGTCTTAATTACTTTACGGTCCTTTTTTAACTGTGGACATTAGTCCGAAAGTAAATCTCATACTTGTCTATCCTTCTCTATCATAAAAAGGAGTGTCCGTTTCCCGCCATTTGTCTTGCCACATTGTGCTTTGTTAGTTCTATCAGGTAGCAATAATAGTTGTTTTATTTGTTTTACATTATAAGTAAATAAACAAATATCATTCGTCTTTCTCTCTTTCTTTCAGTACAAATGTCAAATCACACATATATATAACAAAGTCGCTTTTTTGTTCGTATGTACGCTTAAATGTTTAAAACTACGCAACGAATTTTGATTCGGTTTCTTTTTTTAAACAGAGTGATTCAAGATCAACACTCTATATAATACCACATTCACAGTTTATCAGTAGTGTATGTATTAAGTTCGCTTGCACCCGAGCGAAGCCGAGGGAATCGCTAGTAGTTATATATTTGCATGTAACCAAAGAGCGTCGCTTCTCGATATTAAACTACCCACATGGGTTTCCAAAGACTAATTGAATGTGAAAGTCTTATTTACTTTGAAATCCATTTCTATTGTAAATATAGGGCGTGGACACGTGGTTGCAGGAGTATCATTAAATACCAAGACAGGAGTGGCCAACACAAATAGAGAAATCTTAAAGTAATGCATTTATGTAGGTAGTAGTAAGTAGATATTTATAGCAAGGGCATTAAACTATATTAATAATAGTTAAATGTACCGCAAATTGTGACATGTGATTAATAAAAAAGGTGACCCTGTCATCGCCGTTTTTTAAATATTACATTTATTACTGACTGTAGTTTACGGAAGTGGGGCACAGTAAAATAACACTTTAACGGTTTAAAACGCGAAATATGTAACTACGGTCCGACGTATTATTAAATAGGCTGCTGCAAAACATCCGAAACTTCGATTGGTTAAAATCAATATGTAGACAAGTTTAACGAATATATTTCCCGTCTTGAACCGTTAAAGTGTCTTATTTAAATAAACCATTCAAATATTGAAAATGGAATCGAATAATTAACATCCGACAAGTGTATTGATTTCGATATCTTATACGATAAAAAGTCATGATTAAAATTATTTAATCTTGGTTTAGCCGTTTGCGCGAATAAAATAACGAAAATATTTCCAATTCCATTTGTGTGTTTTCCGAAAATTTGTTATTGCTTTGTTCTTCCTAGAACGCGACTGCTACTAAATATAGAGTTGAAATTAGTATTTAATTAAAATTATATACTAATAATATAGATCACTTTTAAATAAAACGCTTTAACGGTTTAAAACGCGATATATTAGTTAAACTTATTTGAACGGCTTTACCACGGCTGCTGCAAAGCATGCGAAACGTCGAGCCGAAGTAAAAATAATGTTCAAATAAGTTTAACTAATATATCGCGTTTTAAACCGTTAAAGCGTTTTATTCAATTTCTGTCCCCAGCTGTACAGAGATACGAAAGAAGGATGCAAGATGGAAGAACATGCCTCGAACTTACAACAACCGCGCCTTTACGACTGAGTCATAATGGCATAACATTAAATATTGCTTATCAACAAACCTCCATAAATCACGCAGTTAGGCATCACGTGAACAATTCAATCAAAATGTAATACGAGTGTAAAGAATGATACAGGTTCCTGAACCCTTGTTATGTCGACGTCTGAAGGTACAAAAATGCATGAATAATCTTTTAGGATACTATAATTCATCTCTTCGACACTACAGCGATCTTTTACAGGGTGACGACATTGAAGCAAGAACATTTTTTTAGAGGACAGACAAGCATTCGTTTCACTCGATAGAAGGTGAAATATTCCAAATAACATCTCAACAAAATCGCTCATCGACCTATTTTGTCTTTGTATATCCAGCAATCCACAGACTGAAGCCGAAACGCGATTAAACTTGTCGGCTTTTTCATCTGTGGATTGATTTTCATTTGTTAGATTTCCAGAAATTTTTTAAATTGATTGGAAACACGTTGGATCCGGTGGGGGTCGAACCCCAACGCGTTGATTTAAAGCGATACTTAACTGCCATTAGACCAAGGTCTAGAAATTCCTTAAGGTCAGCAAAAATATCATTATTTCGGCTTGGAAGGGCACACAACAATATTAATATACAACCTGTAAATTAAATCGATAAACGGACATATAAATGTGCTTGGATACTAGTATACTACGCTACAAAGATACGCCGGCCTCAAAGGCAAAGAAAGACAAAGACAATCTTTCAAATAGAGCTTAATTTCGTAAACATTTGTTCAGACCATATAAACAAGACTAGAAAGATTTTTCTACATGTATCTCTGGGTTCAAATTTTAATTAATTTAATTAATCCAAGTTAAGTTGCAAAGCAATGTGTTTAAAAAAACTATGAAAAGGCTACTTTAGGAAAGGTTTAAATTTTAAATTGATCTGGTTTTAATACTATTACATCGAAATGCTGCCTGTAGTTAGTACGCGAGTAGTACACATTTAAATAAAACACTTTAAAGGTTTTAAACACGATGTAACTTAGTTACCCTCATGTAGAAATTAATTTAACTACGGTCCGGCGTTTTGGATGCTTTGTTGCGGTGATAATAAAATCATTTTTAAATAAGGTTAACTAATATACAACGAATTTAAAAATCGAAAATAAACTGAAAAAATGTTCGACTCGGACATGACTTGAACCGGCATCGTCAGCGTTCCGTGCCGTTGCTCTACCGATTGAGCTACCGAATCCTACACCTCATCGTCGAATTTTTTCAACGTATTGATACATGCACCTATCGCGCAATGTAATTTCAATCTTAACACTTGCGTATTAAGGTTCAACGTGTTATGCTTTGCAGCTTAAGAAATCATTAAAAAGGAAATTACAAAGTTATAACGTTTGGAAACTTTTTTTTATATTTAAAACAGTTAAACTGTTATATCTACATGTCACTATCAAACACAGTATAAAGAAGTCTTAAAATGACACATCTTTATGTATGAGTTACTTATTGTAATTATATTAATTTTTTTTTTGCTCAATATATAAAACAAACTAGTATTAACACGGTTATGGCGTCTTTAAGGAAAACCTCATCCACAAACCTTTACTTATTCATCGCTTTAATCCCGTGAATTTAAGGCGTAAAAGCCTTATTTCAGAAGTCGGGGTTAATAGAAAAATTGTGTTTAACAATTTTTTATCAGAAAAATTACGACAAAATTAAATTAAATATTTTTGGTAGCAAAGTTTTCACGTATTTTTTTCGTGAATACGATTTATAATTTAGAAAATTATATTACGACCGTTATGTTATTAGCTTCATAATATTTTATTTATGTGTGGATTAGGAACTTTTCGTTACATGTAACTTTTTCAGGATAGATATAAAAATTGACTCGGTATAAAACATAAACCGTGTAAAAATCCTTTTTTTGTAATAGAGAAGGACAGACAAGTATGGGGTGGATCATGTATAGGGTAACCCTACCTACCCTAACCATATAAGGTTTAAACGAGACGCTCTGTCGACCTATTGCGGCTTTGGATATTCGGAAATCCACAGACTTTTTCCGTCTATGGACGGTGGTCTGTGACTTTATCGCAATTTCGATGTTCGTACCACCAATTTAAGACCCAGATTTCCAGACGCAGTCTAACATGTTATATAACTAACCTGCATTCATTTTAGTTCACAATTAACCAGGAGTAACGGCGGGAGCAGCAGCTAGTTAATTGGACACAGTTGAATCCGATTATCCAATCAATGTCTAATGTAATTTTAAAATTGCCTATAACTGATAAGAGAAAAATGAAATGAAAGAACTGTCAGCTATTAATAAGTAGTCCAAGGTTTTCTATCTCAATTCAACGTCTAGAAAATCGCTTTAAACTTTCAGATAAAAAGATTTTAATATTCGATTGTATAATTTAATAATATGGAAAGGAAAACTAAAATACATTTTATTTTTATTCGAGGCTTCACATTTAAATTGTAAAACTTTTGAAATAAAAATATTTAATTTTTCACTTTCGAAAGAGGTTCGTTACACTTTTTAAGTTTTCTAGCATATATAGTTTCATATATAGCATCTAAACGCTGAAAAGATGCGCCGTCGACTTAACTTTCAGAAGACTTATATTCCAGAAAATTTATTAGTAACTTTATGTATATATTATAGTGACCTATATATTAATATTTTATTTATTTATAACACGTAATGTTGTTAAAAACCTCATTTTTAACTTTACTTTGCCAATATCTCTGTTCCTTAATAAAACTATTTTGTTACACAGAATTGGCATGTTTTGTTATTTGGTAACGAGTATACTTTGTTTTAAAAGAGCAATATATATTGGTAGATATAATAAAAATTATAGTGTTAATCCAAAAGTATTTATAAGTCCTTTAGGAAATTTTTGAAAATTTTAATTAATAAAATTGATGCACGATGCTAATGAACGAGTATTAATGACACAATATTACGAGAAGATCAGACCGAGCCGACGTCTTGACCGGCGCGAACCTGTTTGTACTTGTTTACGCGCGCGAAGTGAGAATTTGATTCGTCGGTTGAAAAAAACTTGAACCGAGTAAAACTCGGTACTCGTTACACGGCAAGTGTTACTCGGCGCATCTCTAGTTTAAAATAAGTTGGACTCGGTGGGAATCGAATACACACACATATATTGCTACCGTCAAAGCTGACGCTCTTTTATTTCGAAGAAACAATTAATCTCGTATCTTCTTATTTTAATCATAACGAAGGTTTTTTATCTTATGCGTCTGTTCTAGATTATCTCCAAAACGACCGGAATTTTTTTAACAGAGCATAGATAGACAAGCATGTATGAGGAATTTCTATATTCTTACGAACATTATTAATCTAGATTTCCACATAGTGTTTAACATGTTCCAGAAAAATTATAAATTGATTTGAAACTCGTCAGGTTAGACCCGATGGGGATCGGAGCCCCGGCCCGTTGATTATTAGCCATGCACTGCTATCGAGCCCGTCAAATAATATTTAAATAGACTTAAAGCATCTAAATTTTGAAGTCCTAATCCATCTTGAATATAATTACATGTTAAATGAAGATATTATTGTGTATGCGTCAGGTTGCGGGGTATTAAGGGATAAATAGGAATTACATGACGCGGCAGGTTTGGGGACAAAATGCTAATTCATAGTTTACAATGTTCATCAATATGCATCAAGCCTTACGGTCTAATAAATAAAATTATATCGCTTTCGCTCAGCTTAAGACTGTACTTAACTATATCTACGTTTAAAAGCTAGTTAAGATTTAATATATTATGTTATTCTTTAAGTAGCTAATCTGATAAACGTTGTTTTGTTGTTTGTAAGATTAATATGTTGATATAATTCCATCAGATAATGGGTAATATTAATTTAAAAGATAGATATTAACTGTTGCTCATGATGGTACGATCATTTAAAGATTATCTATTTTTACATATAGATTTTGAGTTCCTTAACCGTTTTCGATACGAAGCTGTCGAAGATGAATAATCTCTCTATTTTCTAAAATTTCCACTATTCCTCGCTCTTACTGGTCACATATAAAGTGATATAGCCTAAAACCTTCAAAGATATAATAGTTTATCCGACACAAAAGAAGAATTTTTCATTTCAAACCACTAGTTACTGTGAAGAGCACGTGTAAAAAAATTGTTTTATAATAATAGTATAGATAGACTTATTTATATAATTTAAGCTATTATGGGACAAATTAAAAAAATATATAATAACAGAACAAATAGTCGTCAATCACTTAAGTTAATTTAAGAATGAAAATATATTAACTTAACAGTATAGCAAATAATACCTTATTTTCCAAAGATTATCTATTTATGTAATTCCAGTTATATCACATCAAACCACATAATATAGAATAATCCTGACAAAATCCAATTTCGGTAAGCGCTTTCTCGAAAACTGGCAAATTTAAATATTGCAACTTGCTAGTAACATTTCGTTGATAATCTCGCACAAGTAATATTCATTTAAAATCTTTTTTAAATAATATAATAATACACTTTATTGGAGAAACAAACAATATACAAATTTAGTAAATATACTAAATTAATTATTTACATAAAAGAGTTAGTGCAGAGGCGGCCTGATCGCCTATGGCGATTTCTTCCAGGCAACCTTTGTATAAAGAAAGTAAAAATAACATTTTCTTTTATTTAATTGATATATAGACACACGGCGCGGCAAAACATTTGCATTACTGATAAGTTTTTTTACCAGGCAAATAGTTGAATTTTCATTGCTATGAAGCCTAATACATATAAGGAGATCGATTATGATTTTTGTGCGAAATAAAACGTGTTGTTGCTTTAATCTGAAAGATTTAATGTTCTTGTTATTTAACAATCTAAACTTACACAAACTACTACAACAATTTTAATATAAAAAGAATTACCTGAAAGAAATAACAAATTAAGTTATTTCGGCAATCTTATCACAACAATCTTATTAATAACAATGGTAAATTACTTATTTATAAATTGTAAAGAATTTCACTTCATCACTCCATTCACGATAAAAACCCTTGACATTATGCGTGACGTTACACCACGTCACACATAATGTCAAATCTTTAGAATTTGCGGGAAATTTCAATCCTCTTACATACATAATAAATATATCTAGGACATCGTTGTTAGTGTATAAAAGAGATTTGCAAAAGAGCCACAGAACTATGTCCAAACAGAGAAAGGAAATAAGATGTTACAATATTAAACGAGAATACTGGAAACAAAAAGTAATTTAATGTTTTTCGAAAACTCGACTGGGTTTTATTAGTAAACGCCCACATTGGTTACAATAGAATAAATTCCTCTTCATCAAACACTATTGTGTTATAAATATTTAAATTGGATTGCGATATTGGACGGCATTATGAAAATTGTTCGCTGTTTCAGATGTTTTTTTGTTTTAACTTGTGTTTGGTCCTTGTTGTTCGGCTAAGTAAGCAACTGCTAATATTATTATGCGAAGCTGTTTTGTTTGCATTGACGTTGTTGTTTGTTTGTACACGCAAATAACATAACTGTTATTGAATAAAACGTTTAAATACATTTAAATAAAACACTTTAACGGTTTAAAACGCGATATATTAGTGAAACTTATTTGAAAATGATTTTTAACTTCGGTCCGACGTTTCGGATGCTTTGCAGCAGCCATGGTGTCTCCCCGTGACCACGGCTGCTGCACTTTCTTTCACTAATATATCGCGTTTTAAACCGTTAAAGAGATTTATTTAAATGTGTACTACTCGCGTAAACTATAGACTGTGATACTTAACAAAATGTTTTCGCTCGCTTAGTATTAAAACAATGACAATAAAACAACCATAATATGTCATAAACTTAAGGGTTCACAAATGGTGTAACTTTTACCATTACATCGTGCCTTTTGCAGGAGTAAAATCTGTACGAACAAATAAGAGATGATTTTAGGATTTTGTTTAGATCATGTGATTCAAAGTATTTTCATAGTATTGTAAATTTGTTCACTACTTAAAGAAATATTATTTAATAAAGGTTACCTCGTGATTGGTTGTGATTATTGTGTTTGAACTTAATATATACTAATATATAAAGCTGAAGAATTTGTTTGTTTTAATCTCAGGTACTACGGGTTCAAATTGAAAAATTATTTTTGTGTTGGTTAGAACATTTATCTAGAACTATAAAACATGTGACTAACAGAAGCGAAGATACAGCGGGAAATGTGAACAAAACGGGGTAATTTTTTTATGCGTACGCTGCGAAAACCGTTCAGGACACCCAAAAAATATGTATGAAATAATGATTCCTCTTTAAAGGATGTAAAAAAATGACACAATATGTCTGTCTTGTAAGATTTACTTGCACGACGGGACCCGAGCGATCGGCACGCGCCTATGTCGCGGGCAGCTTAAATTTAAAAAATGTCGAGGTTTGCAAAAACAAATATAGATGCCCAAAATAACTATTGTACGCGGACGAAGTCGCTGACACGACTAGTTTATTTATATCGATAAATTATTTCTATGTATAACTCAATAAGCACGGCCAACCCCTTTCGCAAAATGGTAGAATAATAATTTTTAAATATTTAAAAATTTTCATCAAACCATCGTCAGCTTTCCTCTGTCTCTACAATGAGCTACAGTCCTACACCTCATCTCGAATTTTTTCAACTTATTGATACATGCACCTCTCGCGCAATGTAATTTCTACCTTAACACTTGCGTATTAAGGCTCAATTTCTTATGCTTTGCAGCAAGAAATCATTGAAGATGAAATTACAAAGTTATAACGTTTGAAAACATTAATATTTTTCACATGTTTGCACATAAGCACTATATAATTTAAAAATCGAAAATAAATTGAAAAAAAAACGGCTGACGATGCCGTTCAAGTCCTGCCCGAGTCGAAAAATTTTTTCAATTTATTTTCGATTTTTAAATTAATAGTCTTCATGTGAAAAAAAATATAATGTTTTCAAAATAATTTTTATTAGGAATTAAACGATTTCAAGGACTAAACTCAAATTAAAAGATAAATCATTGTATATACATCAATAACTTCTGTATCAAGTAATTTGGTAAGGTACCACCTAATCAAGAGTTATATCTCAATCTATATTTCGTCTATGAAACATGAAAT